AGCCGATTGGTCAGTCAGTTAATCAGTCAGTCAGTCAATCAGCAAGTCAGCCAGTCAGTCAATAAGTCAGTCAGTCAATTACCAAGTCTGTGAAGTACCTGCAATTTCCATCTTTGCGATAATGGTGGCCTTCTCTCGGGTAAGAGTATTAGCTTTTTGCGTCACAGGAACAAAACCATCTTTTGTCACAAGCAACTCTTGCTCATCCGCACAGACACCAAGTGCTGTGAAGTGTCCACTTATGTTCGTCTTTGCAAGAACGTTGTAAGGTGTTTCTATCAATGATATGTTTGCTTCCGACAGTGGTGTGTCATCTACTGTCAAAACTCGTCCAGTAAGCACGTGATGATCACATGTACATGCATCGCACGCGGCATTCAGTGTTCCAGTGGTACAATTTCGCGAACAATCTAAAGAAAATGATGACAGAAAAAGTTATCATGGGTGTGAACAGGCAACAGAAAGATTACTCGGCTGTAAAGTAGAGGAAAATGTGTAATTAGCTCTCTCAGTTAAAAAGGAGATGTAATGCTAGGAGCTGCACTTAATAGACTTGAGTTATAGAAGGAATTCATAGTAAAATCGCCTGATTTATTATAAATACTATTATTGTTTGTGTGCTCAGAGTTTTCATGCATTTCGATGTATAACGTCTTGCACCTTACAGAGGTGCGTTATTTTAAGCTAGCAATCACGTCTTTTTGGTGTATCATTAGTTTATGAGCTTCTTTTATAGCGTTCTAAGTGGAGATCTAAATTAGCATCGTCAATAAAGCTGCAGGAAAGTAAATGACAGTTAAGGAAAACAAAAATGAAGATGGGACCACCGAGTTGCTGTGTCCAAATCCTTACAGAATAACCTGTGTTTGCGCTATATCACATCAGCTGTTACATTATCAATGTACACTATGGCCCTCTTTTGGAATGTTTCATGAGTAAAAAGGGGTTTATACGGGGTAAGAAATATGGAGGGACTCGATGACGATCTCATGGAATAACTACTTGTTCTTGCGAATCGTTAACACTTTAAATCACCTGGACAGCTCCAGTCTGCACATGGTTTGATCTGATCAGGTTTTCCAGCACATGTAATCGGGGCAAAGACCGCTCTATCATTAATGGCCACACACTTTCTCTTTCGATATCGTGAGCCACTGCCACATGTTTTCGTGCAGTCACTCCAAGAACTCCAACGAGACCATTTCGATTCTATAAGTCCAGTTAAATATAGCGATGAGTACTCCTAAATTAAAGTAATTGTTCCTAATGATCTTCCTCAATTTAATTAAGGCTTTGTGCTCGCTTTGGGCGGTTGACGCAACTTGTCATGGGGCTGAGATGGAGATAGAGGAACTGTTTAGAGCCTGATGCTGAAACCTCATCTTTCAAATTTTTTAACTGGCGACGCATGGTTAAAACTTAGCTTGAAGGATAAAACTGGATTCAATACATATAACTAAAAAAATTAATGTGCAGGTTTTATATAGAGAAACTGAACGCCTAACTGAAATGGTCCTAAAGTATCAAGGGTTAGGATATCAAAAGCTGTGTTATTTGAAAGGGTAAAAGAAAAATATTAATTTTATAAGTAAGAGGAGAGCTCAATGTACCATAAATGCTCAAATCAGCGCCGTGGATGCCTATCTGAAATCTAAGTTGAGAGTTTATAACACAACTACTGCCGACAAGGTATCTTTATGGTTTGGTATTACTGTTGTCTTAAGAGTTAAATAATTCACATTTTATAGTTTCTATTCTAATCTCTAATTGCTCTTGATAACGGGTCATTTTTTTAATGAAGGGGGTAAGTTTCTAAAGAAACTGTGGTGCTGCTTCGGTGGGAGAGTGTAGCAGGTAATTTAGTGTTAACAAGTGGGTTGAAAATGTAAATTGGCTACCGTAAGGAGTAAAAAAGCTGACGTTTCGAGCGTTAGCCCTTCGTCAGAGCAATTGGAGGAATTGTGGGATGTGTGTGGGTTTATATACAGAAAGTGGAGCTACGCCATTAGCAGGAGTATTGTGACGAGAAAACAAGAATAAATTAGTTGAATGAAAGGCGCTCGTTGATACCGTGGGGATTAAAAGTGCCGATTTGGAAGATAAATTTTTGCTCTAGTATTTTGCGGCTTTCCGAACTACCTAGATGTAAGGTACTTTTACAACTCACCTGTGTTGGGGACAAGATCTGCGATGGCTCTCAGGGCTGCTATACTACTGGCTGGTGAGATACTGCTCCTCGTAGACTCCAGGTTGGTTGGTGACGTTGTTTGCTCCCGCTGAAAGTCAGCTGATGTGGCTGTTGGTGAGGGTTTCGTCACAACTGATGATAGTGAAGGTACAGCCAGTGAGTAGAAAGGGTAGAAAACTCTTAATAAAAATGTTTAGCACGATTATGGCTTTTTCTATGTGTACGATCGCTATCTTCGAAGGCCACGCCGGTCAAAAAATCAAAATCTCGCAAAATCAAAATCGACGAGATTCAAACTCAAAAACTCAACTAAAATATTTAACTTGAAACTGAACTCGAAATCCAGACTGAGTATGATATACGTAATCTCTCTCTTCATTAATTTGTTTTAAGTAGTCGCATGGCCATTTCAGGAACTCTCAGCTGGTTTTGTGATCAAAGCTACAAAAACATCACGCAACTGACTTCAGTTATGTTTCGATCACGTGCGTTTCTTGGACGTTGATCACGTTTACCCCAATGCAATATTGTATTTTTCATGATATGCAAATCTTTCACTTGCACTGGTAGACTGCTGCGATTTTATCTCAAGAAATTAAAATTTTGTCTTCCGAGAGACAATGCAACTCAGTTGCAGTCTTATGTTCATTCGAACAGCAAAGAAACCGTCTGTGGGAAAATATCCATGACCATCAGTTCTCAATAATCCATAACTTCGAGAACTTGGCAACATCATCGAAATATAGAATTCCACCCTTCCCTTTTTCATTATGCGAAATCTCTTTGTTTCGCTCGTAAGTTTCATCCAAAGTCACGTTTTTTAACTGATTGAAGCCGAAAGCCCATCAAGCCCGTCTAATTAATATTTTACAGCGAATTCTGTTGGCGGCGAAAGCTTTTAGCTATGTATACCTTGAGAAAAATTTGATAAGTTACACTTCTTGTAATTCCTTTTTTTTGCCTCCATACAAACATGTTTTCATTTTGATACATACCTGTCGAACTTGTGTGAGTCTTTGGGGAAGCAGTAATTTCTAATTCACCAGTTAACGGCCCTGTGTACTTGGAACCTTGTGCAGCTACGCAAAAAAAAAACAGAGAGAAAGGACATGAAATATCAGCACGTTCAGGTCAGACACTGAATATGATGGTAAATAAGAACGACTGAGATAAGATTCGAAATTCTTCCTAAAATAATCAAAACACGTTCCGTCGGTTTATGGCCACACGGTTCTAGGAAATGTTTTCAAGGAAGTACTATATCAGACCTTGCAGTTTTATCAGGCGAAAACTGGACTGCAGATCGGTAGGAAATAAAGGAGTACAGAAGAAAGCAACCGATTCTCTAAGCACCTTTAAGATTATATCGTTAACAATAGCTCTTTAATCAAACTCAAATCACTGGCCTGTAGAAGTCTTACTTACGTTCGTTTTCGGCATCGCTCAGGTACTTTGGAACGTATATGGCGATCAGGGATACTGCGAGGATGACCACAATCACCACTGCAATTATAACAAGGATGAGTAAAAGTTTTCGTTTAGGTCTTGCGGTCTTTTCTGAAGGCTCCTCCGCGAAAAATTCATCATTCTTTGGAAGAATATCAACCAAAGGTACCATTTGTTTTTCTTCCGACTCCATCTCGAGAACTTTATTGAAGGACAGTTTGTTCAGCACTGCCACGCCAGTGAGTCACGTTCTTATTGTACTTTATTCAGAGTGATGAAAACAGGACGTTACTGTGATCAACCAATAACCTTCATCCTAAATACAATGCTGAAGGTTACCTGTTGTAAGTAGGTCAAGCGGAGTGTTAAAAATAGCAGTTTGAATCAATTATAATCAGTTTCAAGGTGTATTTGTTTACACTGATAGGTCACATGTATGCAAATGATGTACACGTACAAACCCAGACGCTAACGTATTTGTCAAGCGTGTCAGCCAAACCGCCAGCTACCTCTGCTTGTGCGTAATAACAATCAATCACGGAAGTTGAAGCCACGGTGAACAGTGGCTATTTATATACTGATATTTACAAAGCAGTAAATGTAATATTTATCCGAGCCAGCCAGAATAACAAATGGCCCAAAACATTTACGAATAATGGGAAATAGGAAAAGCGTAAACTGACTGAAGCAAAGAATTCAAAACGTCACAGAAGCTACTAATCTTCAAAACATTACCCACCTTTAAGGTCTGAAAAACTTAATTCAGCAAATTAAAAAAAAGTTTGATTTAAGTTCAAATGCTTTGCTCAAAAGTTTTCGTATACGAAGGTCACAAAGCATTATACTTTTAATTTTTTCGTCCTAGAAAATGAGGACCTAAATTTCAAGTGACTTACTGTTTAATATCTCATATCAAAGTTCAGTTTTATTTTTGTTTTGTTTTGTTTTAGTTTTTTTTAGAACAGTCGCCTCGTTCATCGAACTATGTTCCCTTGGGTGGACCATAATCTCATTGAAAGGCATCTGAATCTCCTCCGGCTGATCGGAGTGAATTAAACTAATCCCCCTCGAGCTAACCAATCTGAATGCGCTAAAGTAACATTTACTTGTGAGGTATAAAATCATATATTGTTTATAACATTTCTTTGACGTCGCTCGGATTCCCCACACAAATTGTTTTCCAGCTCTATCTTTGACGATTCCTATGGCACAAGTCACTTTCTCTTTCAAGCGATCCAAAGAATAACTTTTGTAAGGCGTGCTGAAAATTTGTCAAACCAACTGGAAACTACGTGCATTCATACATAACAGCTCTTCCGGATAGTCAATCTGCCCCAGTCTTTCTCGATTTCGACGCCATATTGAATATCTTCGCATGTTCTTTGCTTGTTCAAAATGGTTACGATTATTAACGGTGAAATAGTACAGGACAATGATCCGAGGGCGCAAGAGTTTCGAAATCGTGGACGAAGACAACAAGAACAGCAACACCAACGAACACGGGGATCACAGAACCAAAACTACCCTCCAGTCCAACAAGGGGGTTCTATTTTTGATCAACTTAACGATCGACTGATTTCCGCCGGTTTTCCTCGATGGAATTTGGGACAAAATGTCGTCGAACCGATTACATCGGTGACGTTGATTCTTGCTGTGGTTCTTTTTGGCTTCCAAGGTTTGTTATTGGTGGGCGTTCTCTGGCTCATCATGCAACAACGTCGACGATGAGCAAGGTGTGAACTTCGTAAAAAATTAAATCATATGGCATTCACGGATTTATTCAAATTTGAAACAGCTTCTACGTGTCGTTGAAGTCACGGACTCACTGCTGGACAGAAAATCGTGATAAAATTAGCATACATAGTGTTTATTATTATAGAAGGCACTTTTACAAAGGTAATTAGATTAATTCTGGTGAATTGTAGGAAGAATTTGATTAGTCAGCTGATCAAGAGCTGGCGCAGATTTTTAATGAATGGGTTGGATGTTATGTTGGTGGGCCACTTTCTTACATCTCCTTCACTCCCAAGATCTAATTTGTAATTCTCTTTACTTTATGCCTCAGAACTCTCATGATGTTAGTTTGGAGAACTTGGTACTGGATCAACTAATAATCTCGTAACTGATATTTATTCACTTATCTGCTCGATATTGTAGGAGAAATGCTGTCTTGATCACTGACTGAAGTTAGGTTTAAGGGTTAAGCATGCACCACACAAGATCTAAAATATTAGTTCAAATTTCAATTTACTGTAAAATGGTTGGAAATTTTGCTTTAGATGTGCAATTTAGTCTCATCTAGGACAAGGTGGTGAATAATATCTGCAAATCAGGCCAAAGCTGACCAATCAGGGTGCATGAATGGAATAATATCTGTAAATCAGGCCAAAGCTGACCAATCAGGGTGCATGAATGGAATAATATCTGCAAATCAGGCCAAAGCTGACCAATCAGGGTGCATGAATGGAATAATATCTGTAAATCAGGCCAAAGCTGACCAATCAGGGTGCATGAATGGAATAATATCTGTAAATCAGGCCAAAGCTGACCAATCAGGGTGCATGAATGGCACTCCTTCTGTGTAGCATTTTTAAAACCTTTGCTTATTCTCCACTGTGTTTTCCATACATTTCCTGTGGTGCTGATGAGAAGAATTTGTTTAACAATCAAGAGCTGCTTTAGTTAGTGATCATTTCCTTTATTCCCATAGCCAAAATATTAATTCAGGGTGATACTGTTAAGAGAAATTAGATGCTATTCACTCTCAGGCATCAGAGAGTTAACCGTGACTGTTGTTAGCTTCGAAACTCTCTTTTACAAGGTGGACCCTAGTGGGCCTGTTTTCCAAAGTTGTTCCAATTCTAGCCTGTTCCAGGAATGCAGTGACCGAAACAAAAACGAAGAAACAAGTTAAGTTAAAGGGTACCAACACAATGGTAGGCAAGGATTGGTCAGAGCCACAGATCCTGCCATTTTTTCTTCCTCCATAGCATTAGCACTACCATTAGTGTTTTCTTGCAGAGACCCATAATAGAGAAAATATTAAAAATAACACAAGATGGACTCTGAAAATATGGTTGGCTATACCACACATGCTTGCCAAGGGACAGAGAAATGTTGAGACAATGCAAACTTTATTGAAATATATGGAAGAACTGGTATAGAATGCAAGCTGATCTACAGTGCACATGCTAATCTTATGAGAGCCTATCCACAGCCATCCTTTGCAATCAAGTGAGACATGCACAATTTACATCATCAACCCATGTGTCTCAAGTGAGCACAAAAAGGAACAAATTAACTTATTTATATACAGTGATCCAGATTGTAGATAATTTGTCTCATTAAGTGCTGTGCTGGATATGAATTTAATTTTCATCTGGTGATAATTATGTAGAAATAAAAAAATGTACATCACTTTACAAACAGTAGATTACTGTGGTAAATCATTACTGTTTCCCGAAACAACTTGGCTTGTTTGGTTCACTTGCAACTTTCCAATACTTTAACAATTTTTTCAATTCCATGGCCACTTGTGCCACTCTATAAGAATAAAAAACAAAAAGTTAGTATATATACTATACATGTACCATTAACTCCTCACACCCTAACATCAGAATGCATATTCTTCAAACATTTCCTAAGATGCTGACAAGGAGAATTTGTTTTAAAATCTTGAGCTTCTTTAGTTGTTGTTATTGTTGTTGTTTTTTTTTAATTCTCATGACCTAAACCCTTTCATGCCCAAGATCTCATTTTTAATTCTTCTTTCGGTCTGCCATACCATTCTTATGATGCTACTTCTGAGAATTGGGTACTGGATCTACTAGAAAATTCTCGAACTTATATTTATCTTTATTCTCATCACTTATCTGATTGATACTGTATTGATATTGTAAGGAGAAATTCTGTCCTGGTCACTCATGGGGGTTAAAGGGTTAATGTGTGATCCAGGGGTGATATTGTATGGAAAAATTAGATGCTGGTCACTCTGAGATGAAACAAGTATAAAGATGTCAACATTCTTTGTATCTTGACACAAACAAGAGACACTAATGCATCTATGGAATGCAGTAAACCTGTAATAATATATAGATTTAGCCAAGCCTAAAAGTGGAGCTTGCATTTTTTTCCCCGCATGTCTCAAGGGCACAATGCCTTGCCCTGGCCAGGACTAGAACCTGGGTTGTCCAACTCGGAGCCCAGTGCTCTGACCACTGGACTACTGGACAAAGCCGTGGCGTTGGTGTGCCCGTGGTACAGTTACCGCGCATGTTAAAGGTAGCACCTTGTACAGTCGTACATCCAAATTTTTTTCGGCTTGATGGGTTACAACTATTTTGTATAATTATGGGACTACACTCTGCAAGCTCTGCTATAATACAGACTTTCTATAGAACATTGCAACATTTTCTTAACCTTTAAACCTTGAAAGTGACTCACATCTAATTTCTCCTTGCAATATCACTTATGAATCACACATTAAGGTCATGAGAATAGAGGAAATGATCACCAGGGAAGGAACCTTTTGATTGGCAAACAAATTCTCCTTGTCAGCACCTTAGGAAATGTATAAAGAACAGTGTGGAGAATATGCATACTGATGTTAGGCTGTAAAGGGTTAAGGGGGAGGCAAGCTCCAGAAACCACATAATTTTCATAATCAACCATTATCACTTAGAGTAGTGTTATTACTTGCTTACCGTGAGCTTAATGAAGCGGAGGAATTTTCTCAAGACATTAATAAGAAGAGAAAAATCACCATCAGGTAAAAGACTCCTTACAAAAGACTGGTTTGCCTAATAAACGATAGCAGAAAATTAACAATTAAGTTATTGTAAAATAAAACAAAGGATTAATTAATAAGGTAAAAAAAAAATGTCATAGGGAGCAGTTGAGCCATGTTGCATATCTTGCTGGTGTTATCACAGTTTCCTTAACATGATGCAACTAGGAGTATTGACACTCTCCATGGATTGGATGATGGTCCATATCAGGTTACCCCCAGCATTTCATCATGTTTCCCTGGGAGCTTGGTGGTACACATTCCCATTTATACTCCTGGATGGAGAGAGGCACTGGACAGTAAATGTTTTGCCCAAGGATACAACATAATGATCCAACCAGGTCTGGCATAAGTACCTCTGAACCCTCAAACATCCCTGTCTATAGTGTAGACACCAATTTCAATGTAATGCATTACACTTACCTCATTTTCCTGTACTATACATCCAAGTAGAAGGGCAACATATGCAGCCACAACACTATCTTCCATGTGTTTTCCAGCTTTTTGCAATGCTGTACAAACAACATAAATAAATAAATAAATAAATAAACTGTACGAGATATGGTAACCAGATGGTTAGACTCTGTTATTAGGTGTAGGATGTAACCCCACCCAGAAAATGGCCTCACCTTTCCCAAGCTGCACCTCCAGGGGTACAATTTCCTCTTCCTCTTCTTGTGCATCATTAGATTTCTTATCTCCTTCATCAACAGAAACGTCAATATCTTCACCAAAAGTCCATCCCTTGCCATCCTTTGTGGGTTTAAATGACTCCTGACTACTTTCCTCTGGACAAGAAATAAAATTACTTCTTGTTAATATTGCTTCTGTTGCATTGCCAAAATTGCAACAGATTGGACTCTAATCTATGGCAATTAAGCTCACGTGATTTTTACATGTAACACATTTTTTTAGGTATTCGTAACACATGGTTTAGGGTATTTTTAAGGGCCTTTTTTCAATTAGAAGTGGTTATCTTTGTGACTGTAAATCTATATACCTGACAAGGCTGGACAAATGTAAGTACCTTTGATTTTGCTACCCTTTATCTGGCTTTTTTTATTAGAAAGGGATTCATTTCTAATACTCTTTAATTTTGCAATTGCAGCTTCAGATTACCACAATATTGTTTTCAATAAAATCCTGAAAATCCACCCTTTATTGACTGATTGCTCCATCGATCCACTGGTCCATCCTAATATTTTGTATCAAGATATCACTGCTCAAACTAGTTAAGCTACCATCCAAATCTTAACTCTTTACACTCTAACATAAGTATTCGTATTCTCCTCAAAGATCTCTCTTAATTTCCTGTGGTAATGACAAGGAGAATTTGTTCAACAATCAGGAGCTTCTTAAATTGGTGATCATCTCAATTATTCTTGTGGTCTTAATGTTTGATTCAGGGGTGATATTGTGAGGAGAAATTAGATGTTAGTCAGTCTCAAGGGTTGAAGGGTTAAAGAGATAAACTTACACAGGTGGCAAGAATGCTGGCTTTCTGATGCTGTTAGTAACCTTTGATTTACACACCTATTGTCACACATAACTGGAGTTTGTTAGGCCTTTTGTCCCCATTCCACATGTTTTTGTCTACATTCTTTATAAGAAACTACACACTAAGTTCTGGCTCAACCTGGAAACTATTGACAATATGGATGGGTGTGCCACTGCTTAAATTCAATTCATTATTTATTTAATATCTTTTTAACCGGTATGCATGTTGTACAAATGCCAAACATCACACCTACAAATGAAAAACTTTTATCTTACACCAGCTCATACCTGTACATGTACCTGCTGAAATATTTCTCTCAACTAACAGATAAATTTGTTCTATTACAGCCTTGACTGGCTCATTTTCTGAGAATGCATTATATTAAATTATGTACCTTCAGTTGATAAACCTGATGTCATGTCATCTGTATTCCTGGCAGCTTCCTCTCTTATAAGAAAGAGCTGCACAAGAGCTTCAGTTGAGCTTAGTTTCCCCCCCTGATTTGTCACGTCTTGGCTGTCATCTTGACTTTCATGGCAGGGGGAGGAGGTACGCAGCTGTACCAGGGAGGCAATGTTCTGCTTACTGTCCTCCACCAGGTTTATTAATAATTCCAAACTCTGGCGAAGTAAAAAGCCAATGATTTTAACTCTTGAAGATTAATGTATGTTACATGGATCATTTACTGCATTACCTATAAAAGCATGGAATATCACTCCAAATTCTGATAAAAAATTACCTTCTTCCAAAATGTGTATGTACACAACATTAACAGTCCACTTTACAGTTGTGTGCTTAGTCGCCAAGCCTTTGAACAGGAATGAGGATAAGAGTGACCTTGTTATGATACAAACCTTGCTGCTTTTCAAATGCAAATTAATTTGTTATCATGCTAACTAGATACCGGTCTCTATCACAACAAGGTCACCTGCAGCCTCACTCCAAATCAAAGACTTGGCAACTAAGTACACAAATGTAAAATGGCCTATTACACATTGTATGGTTTTGTAAATCCTACTAATCTCTAATTATTGTCAACCAAAGGCTTCCATAATGGCTGAAAGGGATAATTAAAAACCTAATTGGTCTAACTTGTCAAAATTTTCATTTTCAAAGGGGGGTTACTGAGATTTTTTCCCCTTGCAACCAGTTTTATTCTGGTTTTCTTGTGACTGGCAATGTCACTGAAGCCCTTCCACTTACAATGAAGCACTTGAAACTTGCACAGAGTTTTTAATAGCCTCTCAAAGGAATCAACACCTTCAATTTTCTAGTTTACATTTAGCACTGAAAATGCAATTCATACTCACTCACCAGTACAAGAAGATCAAATCTCTTGCTCTCTGAAACAAACTGGGGCAGCTAATAAGGTGAAAAAATTATTGCACAGTTAGTTTTTTCTGCTTAAAAGGTTGCCATTGAATTTCTATTTTGAAGAAAATCATTATATTTCCTCAACATGAAATGCATAGGTGTGCATGAACTGGCATAGTAAGATCTGAGTAGGTTTAAACTGTGGCTGAGGTTACTACCTTGTGTTCTTTAGCAAAACACTTTATTCACATGCTGTCTAGCCCTATCCAGGAGTATCAATGGGCATCTATGAGCTGTCTTGGGGTCCTTCCCAAATGCTAAGGGGGGGGGGGAGGAGGGGGGGAAAATTACCCTTAGAAGTCAGACTGACAATTATCTGCTATTCATTCAAATTACTAGTTGGGGAGAGGCTTTGTGAATGTATGGTGCATTTCCCAAGAACACAACCCAATGATCCAATCACCACTAAAATCTACACTTCTCAAAGCCATGTCCAGGGTGCTAAATATTAGGCCTTGGCATCTAACACTTCTGCTACATACTGTACCTGTAAAACAGTCAGAAGAAGAGATGATAAGAAGCCTTCCTGTTGCCCAATGCAGGAACATCCTCTCTCTGGAGAACGAAAAGAAAAATGTTACTTTTCTTTTAACACCTATGAATCAGTAGCACCTAAATTCTCCTTACAATATCACCCCTGAATCTAACACTAAGGTCAGGAGAACAAAGGAAATGATCACAAATTCAAAACACTATTGACTGAAAGACAAATTCTCCTTGTAAGTAACATAGGAAATGTATAAAGAGCAGTATGGAGAACCTGCATACTGATGTAAGGGTGTAAAGGGTTAATTGAGGAGTCCTAATCAAGGACCAGATCACTTAATAATCACGAGAACTGTACACTTCATTATGACAAAGAATCTTACCAAAGTTGTGGGTAAGATTGAGAAAAACTTTGAGAATGCCAAAGAAGCAGTCTTGAAACACTTCATCAGGTTTTTTCTTGGCTTTCTTTGATGAGACACCATTGTTGAGTGTGTTAAGGCACATTTGTAACAATCTGTAATAAAAAATCAAAACATGATTGAGCCCTTGGACAAAATTAATCATAACAGTATAGCTGTATCTGATGGCTTAAAGGCCTACAGCCAAAAAGTATAATGAGATATAATGGAATGCTTCACTACTTTCAACCCCCCCCCCCCCCCCATAGTATTTTGTCCAGTTTATGGACAGTTTATGACTCTTTATGGAGAGATGATTTGCAAAGGAAACTCTCATTTCCTGGAACACAACAAAAATGGCCACTCAACAGCTCAACAAAAAGTATAATGAGATATAATGGAATGCTTCACCCCTGCCTTCTCCCTATAGTATTTTTTCCAGTTTCTGGACAATTTATAGTCCTTTATGGAGCAATGATTTGCAAAAGGGAACTCTCTTGTCCTGAAACACAACAAAAAATGGCCCCTCATCAGCTCTAACTCAAGTCTTTTTGTTGCAATATTTGTATTAGCCAATAAATGAGTCGGAAAATTGGTTCCCAGGTCTAAGGGGTGAACTTACTATGAAGAAGAATTGATACTTTGATGCTTATTTACCTGACAAGGCTTGTCACAAATGACCCTTTTTCATACTGAATCATATACTTTTGATTATTCAAATTCTGGATTGTAACCTGCAGTAGAAATTAGAAAAAAATAATCATTGGAAGTTTGTTAACTTATCAAAGTTAAAAAAGGAAACAAAATTGAAAAAAAAGATCCCCCATATGCTATTAAAATGTAGTTTCCTCTTGTTGGTTGGTTTAAAATTTTTTAATGTACCAGTTTGATTTTAACCCTCTAAGTAATGGCAATATAATAACTTTAACTTAAGAAAAATAAAATTGCTCTGGTTAAGAAAATGTCCTTCAAAAAAAAAAAAAATTGAGTATTTGGTGCTGAATGAAATATTACTGGTATTTCCTTGTTTATATTTTCCTTAACCCTTTAACTCCCAAGATCTCATAAGTAATTCTCCTTACTGTCTGCCATAACGTTCTTGTGATGTTAGTTTGAAGAATTTGGTGTTGGATCAACTAATAATCCCCTTATTAATATTTTTCTTTATTCTCATCACTTGTCTGCTTGATATCGTGATGAGAAATTCTGTCTTGGTCACTCATGGGAGTTAAAGGTTAATTCCAATCATCTACTGTATCTGTTTCATGATATATTAATACAGTAGGAAAAATTGTATCTTAGTCAGTCCCAAGAGATAGGACCTTAACTTGCTAATCACAGGTTTTAGGTGGGTAAATATCAGCTAATGGATCATGGGATAATCAAGTAAAAATCATAAGAACACTGTAACATATATGACAACTCACATTCTCCAGAAGCCTCATGCATCTTGTTAGCTTTTTAAGCTTTGCTATTGACACTCCCTCATGTAATTTGCCATCCACATGTCTTGTTAAAAGCTCATCAATAATTTGAATTGCTAATCAAAATATAGGGAAAAAAAAGGTGTGATATACTTCAAAGTAAATTAACTTTTCAAATACCCAGTAAGTCCACTTACATAGTGACAAGGGATCCTGCCATAATGAACTTATAACTGATTTATTTGTTTGTTGTTATAACCATAGGCAGAATCTGAATCCAACTGGTACTCATCTTTGTTTTTCAATTAAAAAATTTGTTGTTGCTTTTTGTGACTCTATAGCCAACATTGTGCAAAAATTACAACTATGTAAATCCGCTCTAACCTGTGTTCATTATATGATCCAGTCCCTGCAGGACTCTTATTTCTTCTTTAAACCATTCCCCAATTCTCTGGGATGCCAGGGAGAGCATAGATTCACACACAAGTGAGGCAGGCTGTGGAAAACATAACCTTGGCTCAGCATTAGAGGAAAAGATAATATATATCAAATAAACTTTAATAATTAACCCTTTAACTCCCAGAAGTGATTAACATGTAACATCTCCCTATAATATCCTTACATTATCCAACAAACAGGTAACAAGAATACTCAAACTTATCAGGTAGAAGTTGTTATCTTGATCAAACACCAAATTCTCAAAATTAAATTATGAGGAAATGTGTAGCAGCTAGAGGGGAGAATTAACAATCAGATCTTGGGAGTTAAAGGGTAAAAACATTTATGATCTTAATTCAAATAACTTACATTTATGTCATCATCTCCCATTTCAAGTAGTTCCTCAGAGGCACTTTGCTTTTCAAGTAAAGTCCTACAATGAAAATGATTTCGAGGTTTGGGGTAAGACCAACCTTCTTAAAAGAAAACACAGTTGATACAAAATTGTACCAGAACCCCAAATATCAGCAGATGCACAATGACCCTGACTCATTGAAGCATATGCTTAAGAAGGAAAGAGCTCTTTAAAAATGTTTTGTTAACAATCATGTAGGAGTAGAAAGTACATGATAAGTCACACTGAGTTACATTTGTAACTGATCATTTTGATGAAGGCTTTAGATAGTACCATGACCAATGTAATCAAAACTATAACAAAATTCTTGAATGCGATTGGTTCTCACAAGCCCAATTTGAGCACTAATAGGACAGTGTATGTGTCATGTTTGCAGTAGTCCATTTTACAGTTGTATGCTTGGTTGCCAAGCCTTTGAACAGGAATGAGGCAAAGGGTGACCTTGTTATGATACAAGCCTTGCTGCTTTTCAAATGCAAATTACTTTGTTATCAAGCTAATTGGATACTAGTCTCTATCCCAACAAGGTCACCTTCAGCCTCACTCCAAATCAAAGGCTTGGCAACTAAGTACACAACTGTAAAATGGCCCATTGGACAGTGTAATAAGACAGTTAAAGGGACAGTTCACATGTCATGCTTGTGTAAGTGGACAGAACGCATCATGTGTGCATACTATTGTCTTGCATTTTGTCGAGTTAACTGATGCTTTTTTTTTATGAATACATATAACTGATGTATAGATTCTTTATCAAATTTTGTCATAGTTTTGATTAATTGGTAACAGGACTTCATGTCATCCAATTCTTTCTGTAATCATACTCGTGATTTACAAATAGGACTCCCGGTCATCCGATTTTGTTAACCACTCATATGATTACTGACCAAATTGGACTCTGCTTGTTCCTATACTCATTATTAATAGCAATACCCACTCACAAACAAAAGATACATTACAAAGAGCCAACGACACCTCTTCTTTTCCTTGCAGGAGAGCGTGAGTGACTAGCTATGAGTTGCAGTTGGTTTTAACATTAATGACTGAGTGAGAGAGCACCACAAATCAAGTTTTTCATCTCAATTGTCATCATAAAACATAAGGTAAAAAAACCCATTGTCACTCAGGATAGCTTTTGATACTTCACTGAAAATTGCTTATTTTAAGCGATATTTACAAATGAAGGTTATGTTTCCTCATGTAAGGTGCACTAACCGCACTTTGGAGACATATTTATTGTAATCCTTCAGTGATTTTGATTGCTTGTTCTTACTGTCCACAGCTAGGAGTTTCATCATTAGTTCTGGAAAGTAAATAAGTTTAGGATCAATTCAAGTATCATACACTATACAGCATTACTCAGGAGTTTCAATAATTATTTCCATAGGGGGCTACCAATGTGCACAGAAAACAGGCCGTAAAGCGAAATCCCACCACAAGAGCCAGCTTGCAAGCTGAACAGAGTTTGTTCCCTTTTTCAGAACATATTTCAAGGACTTTTCCAGGACTCAGACTGATTTTTTTTACGGGACTCAAAATTTCACTTTAAAACCTTTCATCCCCAAGATTTCAAAATCAACCCCTAGAGTCTACATAAATTTCCCTAAACATAAATTCTAAAAACTTTATTGCTTGAGTTGAGCAGACTTCCAGGACTTTACAGGACCTGTAGTCTTTTTCCATGACTTTCCAGTCTATGAAAATATCAAAAATAAGATTCTGGGACTTTCCAGGTTTTCCAGGACCTGTACAAACCCTGCTTGCAGACCAGACAGTGGTAGACCACTGAGAACCAGAAACCCTTGAACTACTAACTCAATCAACTGAAGTATCACTGGTGATTGAAGGACAATACTAGTGAAATGTAAGGGAGGAAATCTGTAATGGACATCTAGGCATCCTATACAGAGGAGGAGCAACAAAACCCCTTGTTGCTGAAACTGGGATCAATACCATCAGAATGGCATTACCTTATCACTATAAACCATCATGCACAAATTAGATGTACCTTGCTTGATTTATATACAGCTATGGAATAAATTGCACTGTCAGAATTTACACCCAAAAACATAAAATTCTTACCAAGAACGGATCTGTCCAAGTCAGCATTTTGACGATCCTGAGATAACATCAAGGTAATCGCTGATGTACAAAGCGCCAAGCACTGCAAATAATCAGAGAAGTCAAGATGGAAAGCATTCACAACTTTTCCTCTAAGAGCAGTAGTGGTATAGAAGGGATTGATAAAATGAGAGTACTGAGCAAAGTACAGCAAAGAAAAGAACATCTTAATAATTTTGAGTATTACATTTAACTAAGTAAATTGTACATAAAACTGAAACAAAACCCTACCTTATCTGAAGGTGCATCTTGAAGAGCTGAAAATATTTTAGGTCCCATGCCATGGGCCCGAAGGTTCACTCTGAAAGAGGGTTGAGCACAGTGTGATGCAAAATCCAGAGCACTGACACAGCGGGTGGAAATTGAACGAGTCTCATTGAGACCATCCAGAAGGTACTCTACATCATCAAAAAACTGAAACAAAAGTGTGTTCATTTCTACATTAAAATGATATCACTTAATTTTATAAGGGAAGCAGAATGCATTACATATGCTGCAAAACACAGCCTTAGAATGAATGCTGCAAAAGGAAGCTCAAACTCTCAACTCTGCATCCAATTTAAGATATCTGGCACTTAACATTGTCGCTGTTTTTTTTTTTTTAACCTGAGGGCAGAGAAACTGAGAGAAAGTTAAATGAAAAGCTTACCTGCTGGTCTTCTCCTGACTCTAGACATTCATGGACTTGTTTGACATTCCTCACTACTGTGAAAAGCTATAACAGAGAAGACAACATTTATCAAATTAATTTGGGGCATCAAAAACCTTGAAGGATTTCAAAATCTAATAGATTTGACAAAGGCGATGACTTAAAAAAATCAGGAATAAAAATCACAAAACTTGGCAAGGATATAGGATATGTGAACAACCCCAGACATCTAAAAAAATTGACTCAAGCGTCAATCTTTCAAGTTTTTATGAAACCTTTATTTTGAATCAAGTTGCCAGGACCACTCAACTTACATTTGAGCAGGACCTAGTTGTTCATAGGGTGGATAACACTATCCAATGGATAAAATCACTGTCCAGCTGATGAGTGTTAACAAAACATAGTATGCTTGTAGACAAAGACCTACTGGTTTATCAGTTCTTTTAACTCTGATTGCACTTGGAGAATCAGTATCTTTTTTCTGTGGTAGACACACAGCTGGAGCAAGACTTGGGGCATCTGAGGGTACTTCATCCTGTGACTCTTCACTAAAATCAGCACTTGTGGGCTTTAAAAAAACTATGCTTTAGATTGACCTCACTATATCATGGCTGGACCATTTATTATCATTAATACTATCTCTGGGAGAACAGCAGTAAAATCATTTGTGGACCATCTAGTCTCTGGGTATTCTAAGCTATCCTTTTCTTCAAAAATAGTTTTCACAGATGGATATTACGCTTCCTTAATGTTATCAGACTTTAAAAGGGGGAATTGAGAACTGACCCACCTAAATCTGTTTGAAGAAAGATAACAGCCTTAAAGGAGCCAATAAATAAAATTATTTAATTCTTTAAGACTGTAAAAAACATTATTAAACTTCCTACACCTAACTTTACATCATATCATAAAACACTCAACTGTTAATGTACTGTAGGCCACAGAAATTTTCTTAGTGTTTTCCATTTGTGATCATCCGGCAAATTTGCCTGAGAAAAAGCCTGGTCTTCTTTTCATAGAGGGATCATTTTCAAACCTTGTCACACTATGAGAGAGGCACAACCCTCCTTACAAGTTCTAAACCCTTCACTTATCCCCTTTCTATTCATGCACTCTTTCCTCTCCAAACAAAAATAAAAAATCTTACCAAGGCTGAGAGTCTTCTTAATTTGTCTTTCTTTGGTGATAGAGACTTGTCATTATTCTTCAGAAAACTCTTAAAAGGTGACTGCAAAGTGAAATCAAGAAGAGCATTAATCACTTAATAAAGCACCTGTTTTTTGAGTATCAAAATTGAAACTACTGAGAAACACTTAATATCAGTTTCTGCACACAGGATCTTGTTTTCAAGTTCCATAGAATCCAATTTATCAAAACAAATAGACAAAAAAATGTGTAGAAGACAGAAAAAAATTAAAAATTACATTATGACAAAAAGGATTGACTTTCATCATGTGATATTTATGTTTAAATATGAAGCAAAGAAAATACTCAGGCCAAATGAGTAGTACAGAGTCGGTCACCCTTTCAACCCCAAGACCTAAAAATCAATTCTTTATGATCACACTGTCACGCCTGACACTTCTTTAAATTCAAAGGCTGAGAATTTGATGTTAGATCAACAAATATTCTATAATTGATATTTCTCTCCCTTGTGATTACCCCCTACAGCTAAAAAGTGTACTGATACTGTGAGGAAAATTTCCTTTTTGGTAGCCCTTGGAGATAAAAACATGTTTACGACCTTACCGAACTGAGCTTCTTTCTGTAAGTATAAGTGCCCCTCTTCTCGCCTCCTTGGCATGAATTTTCACTAAATTCTTGAGAGCTGCTATAAGCTTCATCATCAGTACTTTTATCAGTAACTTCTGGCGCGATCGCTTGTTTCTCTGGTACGATAGCGTTACTTTGCAAAGCACTCTTCTGTGAGTGTGAAATCGTCACGTCATCTTCGTCGAAAGCATACGGGTCTTTCTCATCGATCGTGCCTAATCTTCGCCGTTTGCTTGTCTTTGATGAATCGATATTTCCTGCCTTTATCAGACCAGCATTGCTTTCGATTATTCTACTTGTTCTAGCCCACGGAGACTTCCTGGACGTTCTTCTTGAGAACGTGTTCTGCCCTAATGTAACGTTCGCATCCGAATTCTCACTCTGTTGAATCTCATCAAATTCCTTGGAAAGTTTTGATTCTTTGGCGCGATTACGGCTGTATGTCTTGGTGCCGTATTTCGGCATGAGTTTATCTTGGTCACAAAACTTGTTTAGAGGCAATCAAACGAAAATTTCGCGTGAAATCATAACGAAATTTACACGCATATAGTCTCCCTCTCTCAAATTCATAATTTACCGGGAAGCAAACTGCGCATATTATTGTTGTGAAAGCCGCTGTCATTTCTAAACTTTTATGGCGCGAAAAAAATAGACAGGCTCGCACTGCGTCCTCAATATTGAGTTATCGATCAAAATTTGCTCTTCGTCACAGCAGAGGTGGTACAGCATCTCCTTCAAATCTCCTCGAGTATCAGAATAGTTTTCTCCAGCATGAAAGGGTGAGATTAGTTTCAAAACACGAAAACGGAGAGTTAGTCTCACGCAAAAATTATTGATGTTTCGGCGGTACCAAAAGTTTACTGTCAGTAATTAAGTGGGTGACTTTGTTTTCCGAGTCACAAATTGTGCATAATTTATTTTCGCACTCGGCAAAACTTTCCTATTAATGCATAATGTACTTCTTTCCTGCTTTACTTGCTCCAAGTCCTCCCTCCCATTGTACGGTGTGATCGATCTTAATGAACATGTTCCATAAAAGCCTCTTGTCACCATGTGACCAAAATCCCTTGGAGCTTGGGAATGAGAATGAATTTCACGACGAAAACGCGGGTACACCACTGTTGTAGAGGACTATTTCACTCGCCAGTTTTTGTCAAGTTAAGGAAAATTTTGGGAAAAAAGAGCAAAAAACTATCAACCTCTTGAGGTGTCTGTGGTGGACGAAAACTTCATCCCGGAAAATCATTAATAGGTAAGATTTTTAATATGTTTAAGCTGAAATCGGATAAGCTATTTGTCAAAGACTTGGTGAGCGAAATCAAAACATGAGTGCAGTGCACTACTGAGCTGGATTAGGCTAATAAAGCCCTACTATCATACAAATTTGAGCCTAATTTATTTGAAAAAGGAAGATACTTACTTTGGTGCAGAGTGAAATGACTTTGACTTTGATTGTTTTGAGTTGGAATGCAGATTTTAACACTTCAGTGTACGAGTAACGGGCGGTTTTGTATGTATTTGAGTGTTTAATGAAATCGCTAGAACGAGTAACGAAGCCAAATGATTCATGGGTTTCTCTTCTCAATTGTAGCTTCATCTCCATTATTTTCATCTAACTAAACCGTAAGACTCATTCATTCAAGCTCAATACAGTTAGGAAGTTTAAAGAGTAAGCGAGCACCGGGTTGCGTTACCAAATAATCGTTTCTTTTTCCTACTGATTCAAACTTGCCCTGCGAATCACTATGTGTTTCGATCCCTCAGTCTTGTCCCGTAATCAAAGATGTATCTTCGAAGATAAGGCCTTCTTCTACAGTGTAAGCATGTTTTTAATATTGAAAAACATTCTCGCTGAAACGAGAAATCTTTTACACTAGCCTCGCAATAAAAATTCCCAACATGCTAGACGCGCATGAAAGTAACGCAAAGCGTGACAGAAAACATAAACATGCTGAACATAAGTGCGGGCCGTTTTTCCTTTTTTTTTCTGTTGTTCTTCTTGTTACTTTTGTATTTATTTAATTAATTACGAAGTTGTTTTCAGTAACATATCTAGCCAGATGCTAAAGTATAACCCGCATGTCATGTAAACTATTTATAAGTGAATTTACGACGATCCAGTCCCCCAACCGAGGAGTGCTCAATTATCAAACGCTTCGCAGAAACATCACAATACTTTTAAAATATCTTTGTTCTGGGTGCTGTTTGACAGTTTTTCGCCATGGGAGTGACAATAAGATTGCCAGCTGTGATGTGTTGCTTCCTCTAAAATCATTATTTAACTTTTGTCTGTTTCGCGGGACGTCAGCGCTGTGAATTTTTTCCAGATAATTTGACTGAATCCCTTCCTTAACAAAGTTATTTTCATTAACAAACTTCTTGCTACGCCAATGTGTTTTGTTATTTGACAGAATGCTTTTCATCACGCCAATAGACTTTGTTTTTATTTAGAACATCAGATTTAGCGTAGCCTACATAATCTCGTCTCGGAAATTAAATTTCCGTCGGCGGAGAGGCCATCTATAAATTAGTCTAGAGGTAAGGCTGGTGTTGAAAGCTGAGAACATAGTTTAACAAAAATACAAAACAAGAGGTTAAAATATCCTGTCAAACGGCTTCTTTTGAAAATACAATGTGATCAAACTAAATTTAGAAAGGGTAATTTAGTATTATCAACTGAGTTGATAATGTGAATTGGCCACCGTTAGAGTTTCAAAGCTAACGTTTCGAGGGTTAGCCCTTCGTCACAGCGAATGGAGGAATTGTGGGTTGTGCATGCATGTGAGTGTTTAGAAAGATCTTTATATAACGGAGTATAGACTCGTTTATTCCAAACATTTATGAAACAAACAGTATGTCTTTGACCTTCACACTGGGACTCTTCCCAACGAGTTTATTTCAGTATTCCGAAGATCCTTTTATCAATACATCTAACATTGTATTAGTTGTAATTATTAATTGCTTTTTTCCGCCATACGAAATACGCCGTCCAAAGCCACGTTTTGCACAGTCTCTTTCTTAATCTTTCTCAGTGTGCGCACCTTACCTCTGGAACTCGGTTCCATTTGAAATTAAAAGCAGCGCATCTGTCTCTATTTTTAAAGCTAAGCTTAAGACCTATCTTTTTCGACAAGCATATTTTTAGACTTTAAATTTTTATTTAATTATAGGTTATGATAATTTGACACTGTAAAGCGCATTTGGGCGTTAGGAAAATGCGCTATAGAAATAAATTATTATTATTATTATTAATCACATTAGTGTACAATGATTGCATAGTCTGGTTGACCGTCGCAGTGTCACTGATGAGTTCTAAATCAATTCACCCCTTTAATCGTTTCCTTAACGATTCTCTGATGATTTATCAGTAACGATCTCAATAGTAATTGTCGTTGCTGCCTGCCATACAATTCCAATGATGTTGGTTCGGAGAATTTAGCATTGGGTCAACTAAAGGAGTTTGTAATCTCTTGATAAACTAATAATATTGTAATTGATACTTTTCTTTAATTTGATATTGCATTAATATTATGTAAGGAGAAATTCTGTCTTTGTCATTCGTAGGTGTTAAAGGTTTAACCATTTAACTCCCATGAGTGACCAAGACTGAATTTCTCCTCACCATGTCAATACAATATCAAGCAGACAAGTGATGAGAATAAAGAAAATAGAAATTAAGGGAATACAAGTTGATCCCATACCAAATTCTCCAAACAAACATCACTAGAACTGTATGGCAGACAGTAAGGAGAATTACTGATGAGATCTTGGAAGTGAAAGGGTTAAGGTATTGTTCAGCCTCAGGCCAGACAAGGCTGTCCATCCCTTCATGTTATGCTTGGCCGCTCGCTTCTCTTACTGTTTGCCTCTCTTTCTCCCTCCTTGTAGAGTTCCATGCAGTAAGCAATGAGAGTATCTTTGCAGTGAAATCCTCAATTAGTGCAAATAAATGGGATGGAAGTCATAATTTATCTGGACTTAGTCATAAGTGAAAAATGACAAATTGGGGTATTCTTTATTAAACCCAAATTCTGTCAGATTTCACTTAACAATAAATCATTAAGATTTTACCTCAATGCGATTCTAAAAGAACTTGAGTTATGGTGCATGTCACAGATTTCTTTTCGAGCGAAATGTATCCCACGTGAAACACGCGGGTAATGCGGTAATTTCACGCGTGGGAAGATCCAGAGCCGAGAGGCCGTTGATAGACGCGATAACAATTCTTCTCATTAACCAGCATGTTATTTCGATTTTACAGCTTTTATAGTGACAAATGATCCATGTTATACCGTGACATGTTTCAGTTTGCGGTGCCACAATGTCTTGAGACAAGATGTGATGCGCCCAGACCTTGACATTTTATATCGCGCAGGGCACACGCATTCATCAGTGACAAGTCGATATCAACAAGGAGAGAAATCTGCTTACGTTTGCCGCTATCGAACAGATCCACTTGATAGCGATTTCCTTGTTAACTTGTGTCTGTCAAGCTGTCGCCAGCCGGTCTAGAGATTTCCTTATCAGGTGCTTTTCCACTTGCACCTTGTCGCCAAAGAACAACGACATAAGACCCAAAAAATTCAATCGGCTATGCCATACACGAAACCAGTTCATGCGCGTTAGCGATTTCCACCGATTGTGGATTTTCAAGGTTACCAGCCTGCGTTTCGAAAGTATGATCTTTGAGTCATAAGTTCCGTTGCCGTGTAAGTTTTTGATCAGTTTCTCTCTGAAGTATTTTTTTTTGCTTCAGTTTCGAGTGCTACGTGTCGCTGCAAAAATTGTAAATTCGTTTAAAAAATTGAGGCCCACTGTCAAACTGAGAAGCAACGGAGGCAAACCTTAAAATGTATCTTGGGATTCTTGATATTTTTGCTGGATCAGATGTGTTCCGCTATTGTCAGGCTAAAAACGACATACAAAAAGACTTTCAAAAATTTCCTTTGTCAATTATGGCATGTTATCATTTTTATTTCTCCTTTATATTTTCAAAGTGTTTTCTTTCTCGAAATTTTAAGCTTTCAAAAGAGTAAATTGATTAGTGATTTTTGCTACCATTTCGAGCAAAGTTGGTCCGAAGCATATTACAAAGTTTATTGTTTGACAAGTTAATACCACATCATTTGGCCGATACAACAGCACTAGAACTGGAGAGGGGAAATTAATAGTTGGCTTTTGACATTTCCCTTTCTTCGTGAATGTAAACTTCCCAACTATTGACTCATCCAGATCGAAAGAAAACTCATTACACTAGCAGTTAAAAATAGACATGTGATAAGCGATATTTATGTAATTTATTAAATTCACGGAAGAGTTTTTGTGTCGCAAAATCAAGAAATATTGGTATAGGATATTTTTCAACGAGAAATAAGTCGAAGAGGCTTATTTTATATTATTTTTCTAGACCAGTGGTCGGTTTTTTTTCTTTTTTTTTCATCCTGACACATAGGAAATGATAAGAAAATGAATAAAAGAGCGACTTCGTGTGTATGAAAATTAGCGAGGCGTTCGTGTGGATTTCCTCGATTTTAGGTGAAAGTAGGAAGGAAAACTTAACACAATGCAGTGAAAACTTGATAGAACGGAACGGCAGGTAAGTGTGAAAAAGGCGAAGGGGAAACAAAAGAAATTAAACAAAAGAATGGTACACGATTGTACCAAAATAACTCAAAAACAGGTGATCGAAACTGAAAATAGAAAAACGGGAATTAGGACAACAGGCGAGTAAAAGTAGGTTTGAATGAGACTCAAGTGTAAAGAAATTGAGGAGGAAGCTCCCGGCATCTGGCGTCCTTTGAAATTAATAACACGCGCTTTACTATTTGCACATTAACAGTCGGCTCTCTGTTGCCTCAACAAGTTGAAGTCGAAATTAGCATCCAGAGCAAATACTATAGCAGCTGAGTTCCTCTCTAAAATAAATTTGCTTTTTATGCAATGTATCAGGAAAAATGGGTCTTGTCACATCGCTCAGTCAATGTCAGTTCAAGCAACTCCCAATTTTCTTGCCCTTGGCAACGCCATTTTAGTCTGCGCGATAGTAAGATCACGAACTGTCAGGCGCTATCACACAGCGAAGGGAAAAGCTATTTATTAGAGTGAATTAACGAAATCAGCGAGCGGATCAGAGCTTCGGCCACAATTAATGCTTGCCCTAGTTTCATTACTCTTCATTTGAAAGCTGTCGAGATCGAATCAACTTTTCTGAAGCCCAATAATCTCCAGTGAATCTTGTCTGCGGTGAAAGGTTCACCCACGATCAAACACCTCCGACAGCCAAGGACTTTACCGACATCCATCAAACTGACGCCTTCAGCCCGATAATACCAATAACAATCACTCTCGCAGAATTTCGCTATTAAGAAAGGATGACAGCTTTACAACTCAGCTGTCGAAGAGTCGATCTAAATTGGCTCTATAAAGTATGCACAAAATTCGAGCAATTTCCATGATCATACTGATCGACGCGATTTAACAGCCACCGCATTTTCATACGAATAAAGAACCCATTACAAAACGATGTGGCAAATCGACTAAAACTTGATCCATATCAAGAAACCACTTTTAGATAAAGATCTGTCCTTTCTATCGTGTTCATAAAATTGATAACGCCTCGCTGAGGCATTTGTCAGACGACGGTACATTTATATTTCCCCCAAAGCAATTTTCATTTCTCATTCGAAACGCGGTATCGCGATAACCTGCCAAATTCTGCACGATCTTCTTAGACTTGTTTGACAAGTTGGACAAGCGGTCTTGTTTTAAGTAAAGGTGATTTACAGTCGCTAATGTTATCTCATTAAGATAGATCAACTTGAAAATATTCATTTAATTTTTAGTTAGGATTCGAAATTGTGACAGTTCATTTCCTAAGAAGCGACAAAGCAAGATTGGTTTTCGCAGTAGGCGAGCACAATATGGACATTTTGATTGACAGCTTGTAATCGATATTGTGCCAAACGTGTGCTAAGATACGAGAGAATAAATAAATAAAGGTAATAGCCGTTTTCGCCCTCAAACCGAAAATTGAACTCCCTTGTGAAAACTATTTGGACATGTGGCAAAACTCATGAAATCGTCTTTTAAGTCACCGCTTCCTTTTGACCTGTCAAAACTGTCATTTCAGATGTGATCAGTTGCTAATGACAGAAACTTATCCCTGTCAATCAAACATTGAAAAGACTTGTTCGGGAATAAAAAAGAAAAGTTCAAACTCTCTGTCTCCAGCAAAATGCCCTGCAGCGCAAAGAAAAAACCGCTATCTAGAAATTACCACGTTTATCATGATAGTTTTATCTTTGATGCTCTTAAGTAAGATCTCTCGCGGTCGTTTCAATTATGAAGATAAAGTCACAGGCATTTTGCCTCTATATTTCTCTCAAGAGCGAGAAAACTGTACAAGCGGCGAGCGAAAAAGATTCTGAAAAAGATAAACGCAATTCTTATTTTCTCAAGCAAAACAAACGAGACAGCTTTTAACCTAAAATAACATGTTTTATTCATTGAGTACACGCATTTCCCTTTATCTTACAAACTTTACACTTGCGCGCCGAATGGTTGTCGCCGAAACCATTGAGCTTTTTATTCTAAGTGCTAGAATTATTCTCCCATTAAACCAACAATAATATCCGCGAAAGAATACGGGAAAATATATCCTTATTAACACCCAAACCATCCATATTTCCTCATATACAACAGTTAGCATCTCGAGTGCTCTGTTTCGCCTTTGTTTAAAAATCACTAGAATCACCAGAACAGTTTCCGCTAACTCCAAATTCATACAAGCACTCGTCATTGACTTCACACAAATAAAGAACGTACTTTTTTTACAAGTTTCAAATGCATAATTTCCAAACTAGCCAGCTATTTTTCTTCATCGTTCATTTGAAAAGTCTGTGCGCTTCGTAAGCATGTAGTGGATACGGTGAATAGCAACTTGTGGGGGCCGGTGGAAATACCGGTGGCTTATAATAATAGGGTCGATATCTCGCGGAATGTAGGTTCGACTGTAATGGACTTGTTCTTAACTTGCATGGACATCCGTGAATGTTACAATTCGTTTGTGCATATGGTGAACTTCCTTGCGTACTAGCCTGAGTGTGGGTTCGCAGATGTTGAAATAAATCTTCCGAGGTTGTGAACGATTTTCCACAGTGTTTGCTCCCCGCCACCCAGTTACAGACGTACGGGGAGGCCTCGTCCGTTGTACCAGGTTTGTACAGGGCCATGCTATGTGGGTATCCAAAACATGAAAAAGACGATTGTAGGTTTTGCTCTGTTTTGACATTGTCGCACTGCGTACAGTGGGGTCCACACTGTGGCATAGAACTTGGAAATGCATACGGCGAAAACTGCGGTTTACAGTTCGTACAATTCACATCACGGCACACAGTTCTTTGAAGATAGTCCATGTAAGGTGTGCTTCCCGGGCTATGTAGTTGGAACTGGTGTCGTCCAGCACCGATGCTGCTCAGCGCTGGGGATGCGTCCCCAGGGTGCGGAGAGCAATAGCCACAGCCACATTGAGGAAAACTAGTCGGGAAATTGAGCGGCATAGACGATGCCAAACCATGGGTTTTAAGACTAGGAGAGACTGGATCTTGCCCTGTTGGCATGGGATAAGGTTGTATAGTTCCGGTCTTGAACGGCAAAATTGATGCTGGATGGACACAACCAGCACCGTAGTCTTTGTGCAATGAATGAACGCCAAAGGCCTGTTGGCTTGGATCAAGAAACATACCACAAACCCTATTTTGAGACGCGGAGTGGTTTCCACATTGGCTGTCATCGCTCGACGGGTACTGAAGCGATGTACTTTTCACTCGTTCCTCTTTGCCGCTCGTAACAGGCGAAAGAGAGGTATTATTTTCCTTACTCGGAGCTCGAAAACCTGCCTTTTCGTTGTTCATGTCGTCGACTTTTTCGCCGGCGGTGTGTTTGTACGGTTTGAAGGAAGATCTGGTTTCGTCGTCGCTTATCTTTCGGTCTCGAGATGCGTTATCTTCTGCTGTTTCCTTTGATGGCTCGGTTTTGCCAATGCTGCTACAAGTCGCCGCTAGCAGGGCCAAAGGAGATTTCTTTTGGTCTTCATCCTGACAGTCAATAAAAAAATGAAATAACACCGCTTGAGTTAAAAAGGTAAGTCGTAAAAATTAATCATAAATTTACCAAGGGGTTGGCTGGGCATAACTCGATATCTATTAAACCTCGGTGAGATATTTTAAAATATCGAGCTAGGTACCTTGAATGGAAGTGGTTGGATATACTCTTGATTACACTTTGAGACACTTTGCGTCAACATTTGTAAAGCCTCCAGTGGAACTCGATTGCTAGAACGAGATATCTCTGCCGAAGACTCTGTTGCTTTTAGAGCGAGTGTTCGTGTCGGCATATCTGGTCTGTGTGTGTGCGGTAGACCTTCTGAAATATTAAATACTACACAATGAAAGGTGTAGATACAGAAGAAACGAGCCGACTACAGACAAAGCCAGTGCGCTCTTCTGTCGTAAATGAATTGGTTAGATTAGAGAACATTTGCCGCCATCCAATCAAAACGCGTCTTTAGCGATATTTCACTCCTTCATTGGATAATCAAACTGACAAAGTTGTCATCCTTGGACATCAAAGTAATTGGCTATATAAGATATTGATTGATGATTTGCCGTTTGGCCAATCAGAGCACAGGAGTTAATTAAGTAGTGGATCGCATAGTGTGTCAACGCGCTGCTCTGAAGCAATCTACCTGTCAATCTTCGTCAATTATTTTTGTCACGTATTGTTTGGAGATATGTGTTGAAGTGAGTTGTGTAAAACTTGTCAATTTCCAGCTTGGTGTTCGTTGTGTGTTCAAAATCACGCTTTTGTGCTCATTGTTCTTTTAGAAGAGGCTCAGATAATAGAGGTTTCGGTGGGAGCTCGAGCACAACTGGTAGTTTTGGCGTCGCATTGACGTTCGTACGCTGTAGGGACAAGGACCTTCCTAGCCATGTTTACTGTTCGGCACTGTTTGATCCCGATGACACATCTTAGTGTTATCTTATCGAGCCATCAATCACGGCTACAGGCGTTCGGAGATTATGAATAAGATTAGATAATGTGTTGACATGTCTAATAGCTTTGACGGCTCTGTCAAGTAACACCTAATGCCTGACTGAACATTTAGAAAACTATTAGTCTTCGCCAAAGGACCGCCACGACTTGTAATAACACATCCTTCAAAAATTGTTATTAACCAAACAAAGGCTTCCCGGCCACCGGGAAACTCATTTCAAGATCTAACCTTGGCAATATTGCTTTCTAAAACAACGCAAAACACAGTCTTCCTAACGCCTGTATTTGCATAATTAATTCCACGACTAATAAAAGCAATTACTGGAAGCGATAACAGATCTTAAGGAGCTTAAAATAACGAAAATGAAAATTCTCTGTGCTTTTGTGACCGATCGAGGGCTCAGCCGATAACTGCATTAATTTTCATTCTTTATGAGAATTGTGTGGCATTTTGTACTGTTTACCTAGCTTTCCTTCAATTTGACCGAATGAGGGACGTCAAGATGGCATCGGGAACAGATCTTCGACAGCTGGGAGCGTTTTCACAATACCCCTCATAAACAGCGAGTAGGAGTGTTTGCATGGACCCCAAATAAAAGCAGATGATTTTATGAGATAAAAAAATTAAAAATGCGTTCGGGAAGTTATTAAATGATGGGCTGTCTCGAGAAAAGATTCTTGGCGAGGAGAGGAACAAGGGTCGAAGGAGAACTTTGTCGCTTACAAAAATAAGCCGTTGATCAAACAAAACTTTTATTTGAAAGAGAAAAAAAACACAACATTCTTCCTTCATCCGCTCTGTGGGTTTTTTCATCAAATATTCCATTAAAAAGCTACCAAATCCCCGCGACAAAAGAATTTTGCGGGTAGCTTTGACATAACATATATTATGTGGGACAATATATTGAAGTGGTGAAAAGCTTTTACAATGCAAACAAAAGCACTGGATAATTTGTTTTTCACAGTCAGAACTCATTCCGTTTTTGACAGGTAATCTATAGTTATCGAAAACAAACAATTGCCGCCGCCATAACTGTCAAAGGTCCGTCCGCACGTCATGGCATTCATTAGGACTAAAAACACAACCCCCCTTTCGGCAAAAGAGCACGCGTCCATCTTATTGAGTTTAATACGCCATCAAACAAACTCATCAAAAGCACTCTTAATAACTCGTCAAAGTTCATGAACACGGCTTTGCCCATAAATTGAACCCGGAGCTGATCGAAAACCACCCTACCCAACAAAGTAATTAATTCTTGTACGACGTGTCTTGTAAAGCTTCTTCTACTTAAATAGCTCATTAGCGCCTGGAGCTGTCAGGCGTTAAGATGTTTGGCGCTCTTTCAATGTGACTGATCGTACCAAAACAAGATAAAAGAGTGCCGCGCTCAAGAACCTGTCATTTTAGGCGGAAATGTCAGCCGTTTCTCAAGTGCCCCGTCGAACTTGTCTGCATATCAACAAACTCAACAAAATGCTCTTGGGTGTTTGGCGCCAGGAAGACTAAAACCTCATCGCACGTGCCTTCCTTGTACTCAACTAACCCAAGGGCTCTAACCCGGCCAATATCGAATACTTGAAGGGAAAAATCTCGCGATTTTGCAATGTAATTTCTCAACATTACCTGATTATTTTCCTTCCCCTTCCAAGCTGCTCGTCATCAGCACGCAAGAAAAAGGTGCCACGCCAACTGTTTGTCAGACTTACGTAAAGGTAATTTCTGCGATAGGCGCATGCAGATTGTCGATATTTGCATGTGTCGTCCATGGAGATCAAAAAAGATAGTACAAGAGATCTATAAATGATATTCTCATGGGTGCTTGTATCTACTTCTATTCAAATTCCTTCTGCAATATTTTGGTATAGCATTAATTAAAGGTTTCAAAACAGTTTTTTTAATACTAGCCTCGAAGTTGTATCTAGCTACCCACAGTTTTCGGTCATGAGATATGATAAAATAAAAAAAAAAGGAGAGATAAAAATACTCAACAGTCGCTTACACGTTTTCAAATATCTCACACAAGGGAAGACGAAATGAAAACGAGATAATTTTGTGCGGCACCTCATTATTTTTCTCGTTCGTGCGGAGGGAAAATTAATCCAATTCGTAAACGAATGAATACAAGCTCTGTGAGCAATTAGAATTTTACTGCGTTCAATTCAAATAAACTTTGTTTTTCCAGTCAACAATTTATTCAGTTTATTCAGTGAATTTTAATTTTCACCTGAGGTTATAACTGGTTTTTTGTTTTCTCAAAGCAAAAATTAAAACTTATTTCGCGCGTCCTCCCGCGCGCTCTCGCTCAATCGGCACGTTCCGCAGGCGTGGAAGATATACATATTTTTTCTTTTCTGTTTTTACTTTTTGGGAGGGCTTGATGTTTTAACATAGTTCCGGTGTTATAAAAAAAAGCTTCTAAGATGGTGTCAAATGCTACAAGCTGGAAACCCTCAAGCCACTTATCGTAAAAGTGAGAGTTGAATAGAAACGTAAAGCCTGTGTGCTCTGAAATTTTACGCAATTACACTACTTCCCGTGTTCTCTAACAAAATCGTATCCAATTGACAATCGGAAGCAGCTGTAATACTGCATCGAGGGTGACTAGTGAGAGTCCCAGTGTGCCAATATTTCACTCATGCATTGCGTGGGCTTTCTTATAGTAGTGGGCGGGTTGCTGTTTGAAAACTGATCGAAAACCGACTGAGTATTAATAACTTACTTGACAAGATGTTTGTATAAGTTATTGTGTTCGGCTGATGGATGGGTGGGATCGGGTATAGACAGGTCAAAAAATACACCGCCCAGATATGCACCCGAAGACGAAAACCATGGATTATACTGCAGGCATACTAATCTTCAAACGTTAATACTTCCCTTGTAGTTGTTTTCACTAAATATGCCATCTCGTGTTGATTTTTATCTTGTCCGGCTCAGACATTCATCATTTTTTTTGCCGAAATCAATCAACTTCCAATGGATCTTGTCAATTTGTACCGCCAGCAAATAGTTCTCGGGGATAATCAATGTAAAAATAGTGCAGTACAATATTACCGTGATTAAAATGCGCCTGTTGGAGGTATTTCAAAATTGAATTTGAGTGTAATAGACGCATACTAGCCCGAAGTCATTTTCCGAAATGATCTTGTTCTTTGTGTTTAGCATGTTTATTTCCTCTCTTTTTATCTGGAGTAACAGTTGCGTTTTGTTTTCAATCGGTCATTTATATGGATGCAAATTAATCATGAACTGATACATTGATCCGAAGTGATGACTGATGTTGAGAAACCCAAATGAAAAAACGATTTCTTTGTATTACGGTTGTAATTCTGTAATTTTTTCCAAGCGTCAAGCAATGGAGACCCACAGAGGCCAAAATTATGGAATCGAAACTGTATTAGAGCGAAGCTTTTCGCGTGTAATGTGAGACTTTATTGTATATTGCAAAACACTAAAAGCACAGAGTGCCATAATTAAGATACTCAGTTAAAGCTTCCCAGATCCGCTCTCTACAATATCGAACATGATGTATGGTTCTTTCAAAGACACGCTAAAAGGAGCCCGTAATAAACGGAAAACCGATCAGGTGCAAACCTGATCGCTCTACTTGACATATGTCACTTAAAATGATGAGTTGGTGTTGACAGCTTATATCAGCGGGAGCGCAAATGGTTTTCCGCTGAAGCGGATTGGAAGTGCAATTGAACGCCCATAACATTACGTGAAGAAAACCAGACTCAACGACTACGAATTTGAGATAATGGCGTGCGCTATGGTGACATCTTTTTTCCTTAATTCTGACTGCTGCTAAATTAATGACAAGTTAAAGTAAGCTGGGGCAGCTGAACTTTACAGTGGATTATTGTAGAGACTAGAATCGTCTCTGCGTTGTTTGGTTTTGCAAAAAAGCAACAGCAGGCGCCCGTGTGGGAGAAAAAACTGCAACGCGAATTATTAAAAGTTTGAGTAGCTAGTTTTCTTTTTTGTGACTTCACTTTTCGTTTTCCTTTCCATCTAATCCTGTTTCACGATATCGATTAAAGAGGCTTTTCAAGCTTCCTTTGGCAATTCAGTAAAATGAGCGAATCGTCTTTGAAAGATGATTTATGATAATATCCGCCTACAATCCATCGTAGCATGATGAGTTCTCGAATGATAAGCCGTTTGTAGCGGACTAGAGGAAAAAAAAAGGTTTCCCCTCAAAAACATGTGTATTCCTCTCTGCGTTGGCTTTATATTTAATTTCAAAATGTTTTCCTTAACACTGTTATTTACTTAAGAAGGTTCATTAGCGAAAACCGACAGATTTAGACTCGTGTTTATCAAGCTTTGTTTGCCTGTTAAGTTCTAATTCATAGCCTTTTCATTTCGGGTTTTCTCTCCTTCTTATGTTGATGTACAGAATGTATAATTAATGCTTTGAAAAAGCTGCTTTAGCTCTCTAACAACCGCTAAGGCTAAACATCAACTGCAAAGTTATCAAGAAAACATACTTAAAACTTGGTAATTTTTTCAATATTTCTTATTTGGAGATAACATACTCACCAAATTCTTCATTCAGATGATTTTTCTGCTGATACAAAGCATTTTCTCTTCAATATCTCCATGTACGTGCTAGCGTAGATCAAAATTTGCAATTTCAACCATGCCAGACAAGCAGTGAACACGAAACATCTTATTTAAGTCGTTCAGAGCCTTTATTTCCTGAATAAATCCCCACTGCTAACAGTGTGCAACACTTGGACTTCACAGTGTTAATTTGGATACCTACCGACGATTCGTATTTGAAATAACATAGCAATTGAAAATCTGTTTGTCGCGGCTTTGATTAGTTTAAACTGCAAACTGCGAGGATTATTAGGAAACTGAGGCAGGTGAAACAATTCGAAAATGCTAAAAATTTCTAGATCTTCTCTTTACAAAAACATTTGTGCTATAATTAGAAAAGAAAAAAGTCCGAATACCAGATGTGAAGTTTTCTCTTCTGATATCAGTGACGACCTTGACGAAAACTGCAGTGAAAAAGCTTAACACATTCAAAGATGTTGCGAAATGCTACACTTCAGGTTGGCTTAAATAACCCCATTCCCCAACAACGATGTTTTCAGTAGGGTATGAAGTATTGTCACGGAATGTTTTTCAGCGTGTCAGAAAATTACACTGTGCTATAAATGAGAAATGGTTCACGATTTTCAGAATTTCCCAACAGTTGATAACACTAGACATTCCCTATCAGCCAGGAGGTGTCATCTTGATCGATTACCTAATTCTCCCATCAAATAAACGAGGAAAAGTGTAACAGACAGAAGAGAGATTTTATGACTCAGAGCATCGTATTACAAAGCGTGTAAAGGGAGAGAATAATTGACAAATCACTAGGTTTGCATATCAGAGAAATCCCGTTTCTTCCTTTAATTCAGTAACTTGGTCATTGCTCTATCGCTGGTCAACTCAAAGAAATAAACCGTAATATATAGACTCGTGTTTTTTTTAAGAAGCAGTATCGTAACTGAAATCGATCAAACATTTAACAATGATACTCTGGAGGAGGACAACAAAGAGGAACACAGGTGTTTGGAGATAGGGATGATTAAATGGGTTGCAAATGGAAAATTTCAAAAAAAAAATTAAGATGCAAAATTCTATAATTGAGTCACAGATACAAGCAATTTCCATCGCCAGAGACACTAAACCATTTTAATTCACCCACCCCCCATTGTATGTAAGTAACTTGATGACCTTTCTCTCAAGCAAAACTCCCAATATCAAATCAGGTAATGGACTTACAAATTATTCTCGTCACGTTTATCAGAAAATGTAAGTGAGTTTCGAAGACAGCTAAGAGATAAATTGAAGTGGTTGGCCCTAAACGGAGCCACGCAGTCCCAGTCTTTCAATACAGTGAAGTTATCAGTTTCCGAATTTACACGGGCAACATCGGTAAATGAAACAACGAGATATCAATATTTCTGAGTGAATCTTTCCAGAAAACGGATTCGCCGAACAGATTTTCTGCCAAGCATAAGCTCTCCATAAGTTAAATCTACATGTATTGACGAATTCCCAGTGCTGCAAAAGTTGCTTAGATTTGAATCAACCCCTTAAACATTTTTATTATTCCGCAAAATATCTTTATTTCGGTTCAAGGTGTAAGATCAGCATGTTCTGTATTGTCAAGCTACGTATTGGTAAATGTCTATGTGTGAATTTCAAATCAACTCTCAGAATCCTGACATTCCCTCTCTGACGCACGTCTTAATTCACTTCAACAAGCTCCACTTAAGCCAACGCCTTTTCAATTTCCTGTGAAACAACTTTCAACTCTGAATCAAACAATGCACAGTTGAATCTGTGTTAAGCATTACCGTATTAAGCGATCACACCTGTGTAAGCGGTCGGTTGTCAAAGTCCCGAACTTATTTCCCCGAAATCACTGTAATTTTCACCTCCATTAAGCGGTCACCTCTACCAAGCGGTCGCGGTCGACCTTGGAGTGAAACGGCCTTATTGTATTTTTTTTTACCTGTATTGAGCAACTTACAGTAAAAATATCCAGATAAAACTAGGAATAATCTCTCAAGGGAAATTAAATCCATGTTTTTCTCCTGAAATCAAAGTTAGTAGTATTATTGAGTGAGTTTTTGTACATTATAAGGTCAATTATGGACGGCGACTTTTTATCGTATCCAGGAGCCAAGTAATGGGCTCTTGTCGTTTCTCATTTTATTCTTTTTCTTTGAGACCTATATTTAGCGTTAAACCTGTATTAAGCGGTCGCCATTGCTCGTGGGTGATTGCCTAATACAGGTTTAACTGTGGTTATGTATTAATTTGTAATGTTCTAGATCCCTAGATTTATTGTAAGATTATTCACACCCTTCAGTCAGAAGACTGTTTGATGTGGACATGTTGTCTGAGTGATAACACTGCTCTTGATTTGAAAATGAAGCTTTTTTAATGATCCCACGCCAATTGTTACGGATTGGCGTACTCACTGAAGATCGCCGGTTATGACTGGTCGAGGGTGATGTCATGATGTCAAATAGGACACTGATTCGCTAATTTTTATAATGATCATGATCGCCACTTGTCGATTTTCTGAAAAAAGGAAAAAGATAAACGGGTCGAGAAGAAGACGCAATTATTCTAAAACTCACCTCAGTAATTACTCTAAAGCTCAAAAATAGATAACTGTTGTGTAAGGTTTTACTAATTATGTTACTCCGAGATTTTAGGTGCCATACAAGTAATCAATGTGGAGTGATTACACAAAATAGCTCAATATCATAATGCAAGCTGCGTCTTAGGTGATTGCGCTTTACAAATGATCTATGAGAGGATTAGTTTGCCTTTCCATTCATCTCAAATCAAAATTTGTTCTCATTTAGGCAGAGCGACGCCAACCGAGGGCACTTAACGGAATCATCACATGGAAACCTGAGCTCGATGACTACTTGAATAATTGACTTAAATGACTCAGATACCATAACAGAAAACAACGTGCAACATTGGACAGGAATAAAAGAGGTAAAACTAAGGGTATTATAGATAGTACTGGTTTGCTATGCCAGAATATTGAGATTTCAATGGTACTCTGTCAGCAATTTTGTGAGTGATTGTAGCTAGAGTAGCATAGAGTTTCAGCCATGAATCTAGAAAGTCAGGGTATGGTCGCTGTGGTTTGAAACATTGCGATCAGTTCTAAGGCTTATATATCAAAGAAAGGTCCAAAAGGAAACATTAAAGAGAGTATCGTTACTTTGCTTCAATATACTTCCCTGTCATAAATAGCTCCTTGCATTAATGTGATGAATCGACACCTGGAACAATATTATGAAGTTGTTATGACTAATTTTTTTCCTTGGTCTAGAGTTTTCAAAGAGAAGTCTCGAATTTTCAGTCATTCATTACCTACTTTAAATTTTATTGCTGATACAAACCCAAACATTATTCGCGATGTTATATTACACACGCTTAGGAGCCTTGATTAAAAAGGAAGTGTGCTAATTGCAAAAACCGAAATGTGTCCTTAAAATATTTATGAAGCTCTCGATTCCTTCAAGAATTTTTGCTTGAGTCCTTCATCTTTGTCTGGTTTTCGTAGTTGGCTTTGGGAATAAGTTCTAGATAATTTAGTCTTAACAGTTCTGCTCGTTCGTTTCCCGTCAGCAGATCTATAAAAAAAGTGATAACAACAAAGTTAGAATCAGCTCTCAATGATATGGTCTCTTCCTAATGTAAAATTTAAGATCGGACACACACTGAATGTAAAGTTGGAAAGTGAAGTCCTGCTCACGTCTCACGCGCATCAAAAAGTGAAAATAACACGTCACGAAAAAATTGGAGAAACAACCAGTTTCACGTATCGCAAAAGGCAAAAAATTCACAATTCGTATTTTCTCTGGTCATGAAAATATAAAAATTCTTAATCCCTAATCACGAAATGATACCTTCCTCCTGTGATATCCACCTTGTACCATATGAAAGACCTGCTCAGAAACGTTCATTTGAATGGTCACCCCGAAGGATTTATATCCACACTCTAACAAAAGAGAATCACTTTGCTGTGCACAATCAGAATGGATAATACGCGAGAGTACTGCCTATAAGCTTTCATATGAATGGCCACTTAAAACACTGAGGATGGCACCAGTTTGTGCAGAATGATATTTGAAACTTAGTGGGGGTCAAGCTGAATCATTTAATTTTTGGCATAGAGTTAAAAGTGATGTTCTCACCTGGTTCGGAGAAGCAGTGTACCACTTATAACAGATTGCTTGGAAGGGTTAAACCAACGTCTCCCGCAGTCAATGCTACATTCAACAGAGAGTCCTGGAAAAGCCACATTGGTAGAGAGAACACCATTGTCGATCCTATGTGAACAAGTGAATTGTTAAACATTTCGAAAAAATGCCAGTCCATTCTAATGAATTTTTCTACGATCATCGGCCCTGATCTCGTTTTGGTACTTAGTCATCACTTTGGGAGAGACTTTGTAAGGGTGAAGTGGTTTGCCACAAAGCATTATGCAGTGAGTGACTTATAAAAAGAATCAATAGTCGATCTATTTTTTCTCCCACGTGTCACATTTCGCTTCAGTAATCTTTTTCACAAAAAACGGATCAAGCAGACAGACAAAGTCCTCGATAAGGGCCTTCTTCCCAAGGGAATCTCTTCCAGCTATTTTTTTAGTCGAAATATCTAAGCTCCCAGGAATAGTGTCACATGTGCCCGTGTTTCTTGCAGGTAATCTTCAGAATAAAGAGGGACCGCATGGGTTTAATAACGTGTTTGTTTTTCAAATAAATTCGTGACACTCGAGTATAGTGATTTCTACTTCCTGTGGAGACTGATCGCAACTTATTTGAAAAAGGATTTTTCTCAGACTCAAGCCTTCGTTGGAGATTAACTCTCAGCCTAATCTTAATTCTCTTGCTTAAATGTGTTTAAATGAGAAAGGAAACTGATACCTGGCCCCCGGAGGAGGAATGTGATAAGCAATACCCAGCTCGTCCAAACGAGCAAGTTCTTTATAGCCAAGAGTGTTCGCAAACATAGCCCAGCTTTTATTCTTCATTTTGTTTCGTTTCACTTTATTTCTTTCATTTTCCCACAGATCTTGATGCCACGCTCTTTCGGCGACAGCGAGAAGTCTTGGAAACGTCATGGATTGAAACTGAGAGGGGGTCCGTATTGTCTCTGACCAGATGACCCCAGCTAATCCTGTATAGGACATGAAAAAGAGAGTAGCATTGATTGCGTGCCGTTATGCCTAAAATAAATTAACCACAATGGGCAGTCAGAACTGAAAGTTAAGTTGGTAAATGGCGAGGGTAAGAGAGCGTAAGTTTTGCATGTAACTCATAGCTTAGAGGCGGGCGAGTCTTGACAAATCAGAGAACATAGTTAAGCAAACAATGCAATCGCGGATCACTTTCGATATTGAGTTGAAACCTGCTTCGTTAGCTATTTTACACAACTTCACGGTGGATTTTTTTAAGGCGCAGGAGGTAATTATTGGTTAATCAATAATTCATGCTTGTTTTGGTTTTGGGGACTAGTGCTGTAGTTGTGGTCTCACGGAATAACGGGGTAGTGTAGACGATATTGATATTCAAAATGCCTCGTGCCCAATCTGCGATCTATCTCAGAGATGGCTTGATTTAAGCAAAAAAGTGTCAAAAATCGTTTCAGTGAAGGCTAACTTAGTGGAAAATCTTGGGAACGGTGTGGTTGGCGAGCACCCAACAGAGGAGCTGAAAAAATTTTGAAGAGTAATTATATCTTCCACGCTGTCATCAACGTGTAAAAAAAATGAAAGAACACTCACCGATAATGTTCTCAAGTTTTTGTGGTTTTACACAACCTCCAAATATGCTACAGTAATCGCCACTTGGTTCTCCTTTGTCGTCTATTTCAAAACTGTCATACAAATGTTCAGGCATAAATCCGAATGCCTTGCGAGTGTTTGTGTACCGTGTGGCCCAATACAATCCTCTCTCTTCCGGGTCCGGTTCGTGTGCGTGATCAAAATAAAGGTGAGACGCTGGAGACATTACCACCTGAATTGAAAAGATGAGACCATAAAGTATTGATTTATTGAGGGGCCGGGGAGTGATACCTATCTATGTTGTGTCGGAAGTTTGGAGAAGTCAGTGAAATCCACACATGATTGTCCACCATAATCAATTTTTGCTCCAATTTTGACCCCTTTTTCTTGTCTTATAGATCATTTAATCTTTTCTTTAAGGACTAGTAACTAGGTTGATATCGTACTACACTGTGTATGGTCAGTCGATTATCACTATTAATAATACAATTACCACATCGCATGTCCTCTTTTAAAAGATTTTTGACAAACCTTGTACCCTTCATTGGCTAATCTGTAACCAAGATTAACAGTGTCTCCCCAGGCATGGCCATAACTTGAGCCACTTTCTAATTTCGTTTTCACTATATGGGATTTTGAACGATCTACCCATCCATCGTCCCACAGCATTAGTTTGACACCGTATTTCTTAGCGATTCGAGCGACCCGTTTGGTGAAAAAGGCTCTCCAATCCAGATGGGTAGACCTCGACTTAAACTTCCCTGACAGCCTTTGGCAGGCAGTAGACAGATTCCATGCTCCCACGGGAACCTCGTCTCCTCCAAGATGGATAACTTTGAGTGGCTGAACCCCTTCATGTATGGCCTTGACCTCAAGAACCAACTTTTCCACGAAATCATATGTTGCCGCTATACATGGATTTACAGCATTGTTGAAATAGAACTGCCCTGATTGATAACTTGATCTATCCTTCAGATCATTCAAGTAAAACCTCAGCCCTTCTTTAAATTTGCCTTCACTTAGATATTTCTTGTATCGAGCTTCCATAGCAGTGATAGCAGCAGTGGAATGACCAGGAAGGTCAAATTCGGGAATGATTTGAATATGTCGAGCATTAGCATATTTTAAGATCCCTTTGTAATCCTCTACGCTGTAGTAACCACTACCAGAAGTGTTTCTGAAGGGACCTGATCCTAACTGAGGTTTAAGGCAGTGAGTTTCTGTCAGATCATGACATCTTTGTGACGCAACCTGGTAGTTTATAAAAGAATGAAGGGAATGAATGGCTCAACATCCAACTTTCAAGTTTTAAACTCTTAAGCTTTTTCTATGAATAGATTATTTCGAAACTAGACAGCTAGTAGTTAACGACTGAAACCAAGGAATGTGAGTAATCAGATTATACAACCTAAGTTGACGATATCTCCATATGATTAATAATAAATAGAAAAATAATCCGTCCTCAACTCCCATATCCTCATTGCTCTCTCTAAATTAGTACTAGCGGTAAACTACTTTTAATGATTCCTCAACTTAGTAAGCACTTGTGACATGGGAAACTCTGGTCCCTGTTGTATCTGTTACGGTAAAAAAGGTAACATGGGAACTTTTTACTATCTACTCCAAGGTCTGGCCAGAAGGGAGATTCCTGTAAACAGAGAGTTTTCAGAAACACCTCGCATTTTGTTTTCCTCTTGACCTCGTCTGCATATCTCCAGTCCCGCCCTTGTCTAAATATCTATTCGATTTATGCAATTGTCAATGCACAATACCTATTCACCTATCCACATACATACTGATCTGCGCGTCTTAGTAGCTCTCTATTCGACTTTCTTTTCTCTCGAATTCATCATTCCCCTTTAGACCTACTTCTGTAAGTTCAGGTAATCCAGGAATCTCCAGACGCCACCCTTCGTCATCGGTCAGGTGAAGATGAAGCTTGTTCAGTTTGAACATTGCCATTCCATCGAGGATCCGCTTCACCTCTTTCGTAGGAAGAAAATTTCGAGCAACATCTATGCTCAAGCCTCGATACTCATATCTTGGAGCATCTTTAACCGTGACCCAGGGTATCTTGCCGTTCCTGATGATACTCAGGAGCGACTGAATCGCCCAGAACACTCCTGCAGGAGATGCACCAACGATTGAGACTACTTCTTTGCGTGGGTCAACCTTCATGGTGTAAGATTCATCACTGTCTCTTTTTTCATACTTTGTATCAATCGTTACCTTGCCAATCCTGAGCTCAATGAATTTACGTGATGGTGCCCCACCATCGCTGAGTTGCATCTTAAGCTTCTCTGTGGAGAAAGTCTTCATGGTAAGGAGCTGCTTATAATAGCAACGATAGACAATTTATTTGAGATCCAATCAATTTGCAAGAAATGAATAAACAGCTTTTGGCAACTGGTCGCTCTTACTCTTACTCCCTTATTCCACTTTGTTAACTTAATTCATGATTTCAAGGGGTCTTTGGTAATTTTTTTTATCAAGTTAGTGTGACTTTTGGCTTGTCCATGCAAAAATAGATATACAAAGATTGCGCTTTAGTGTCAATGCGAACTGAATATCTTCAGTGACAGTGGTCCTTCACCTCATGCCCCCACCCTTAAAAATTTTCACTCAGATCATCTTGAACTGAACATACCTGTCAGATATTGACCTTCATCTTCCAAACCTTTTTGTGAAATTACCATCCATTTTCCATCTTTTAAATCCATCATTTTGAAAGAACTTCCATTCTTTAAAACCACAGGGGTAGGTAAAATGAGCTTACCGGGCCCTTTCAGATCAACTACGTTGTTCATATCAAAGCGTTTCTCTGGAGTGAAGGGATTAAAGTTGTCCAGTTCCGAACGTTTCCATTTCAAAGCTGAATCAAAACTACCAACAAATTTTAAACTTTCTCCCTTTGTGCTTTTAATAATTCTTGGCTTTAAACCAGGCGCAGTAATGTACCAGTTGGGCATGACGTCTGTCTTGGCAACTATTGAACCATATGCGGTGAGATCGAGCTTAGTTTTCCCACTAGGAACCAAGTCCAAAAAGGTTTTAGTAGGTTTTATCACTTGCAGATACCCATTGACGTGTGAGACAGAAATCTCCTTTCGGCTCATTACAAGAGGATCTGCTCTGTTGCTCAGTATTCTAAGACAGCTAAAGTATATTGCCCAATTTCCAGAAGTGATGTTATGCCTGCCTTTATTGGTAAATGTCAGGCGAATGTGACATGCTCCTTCCTTATTGGAGAGAACGTCGAATTGGATATCCAGACAGGACGCTATGTCGTCTAAATACGCTTGATCCACTGCCTGGCAAATTACTGCAGAATATAAAAGTAACTTAAAAGTAACTGGAAAATTCATTTCCACTGGTAAGCTAACCAAGGTCTCTAACAAATGTGAGACAACTAGTGTTATCCCCTGATTGATTCCCAGTTGAAAGCAGAAAACGGTTTAGGAGTGTTGCCAAATTTTCGACTAAGCCGAGGCGCCATACAGAATTTTTTTGCAGACTACTCACGACACCTGCTATAATTCTGTGTAACAGTCTCAAACACTGAACGTTACATAACTACGCTTCCTTAAAGTGTCGGAAATCCTTTTCACTGACTACAAAAGGCTTTCCACTATGCTTTAAAAATAGTGAAACTGCTGCGCTTCGTTGAGCAGCTCCAGAAGTTGCTATCCAATCGCAATAAAGAAACTATCAGTGAATGATACTTTTTAATATTCTTTCCAGCAATTTTAAGCAACACTTGCCAAGTGATACTTTCAACTTAGCGTCAAACTATTTCAACTTGAATAAAGGGAGTAAGTTTCTAAAGAAAATGGTGCTGCATCGGTGGGAGAGTATAACAGAGTAATAAGTATTATCAACTGAGTTGATAACTTAAATTGGTCACCGTAAAGAGTTTAAAGCTGATGTTTCGAGCGTTAGCCCTTGGCCAATCGCTCTGACGAAAGGGTTGGCGCTCGAAACGCCAGCTTTTAAACTCTTTAGGGTGGCCAATTTACGTTATCAACTCAGTTCTTAACACTAAATTACTCAATTTTCAACTTGATTGGAACTAAAAAAGATCCAGAGATAAACCGCCCAAAGAGGAACAAATATGGCAAAGGATTGAAAAACTTGCCACAAATTGTAACTGGTGAAATAGAGAAACCGTGAAGGCTTCACTTTATAAGGTATAGTAACTGTGACGAAGCTTCTCTAGAAACCATACAAATTAAAAAACAAAGGCACTGAGCTGGCCATGCAAGATCTTATACGTGAGATAATTATAGAAAAAAATCTTTTACGAAATCTAACGCTCCCTTTTTTGACCACTCGATCAACTTTCGACTATTATCTCAGCATTCGTTAATATTTGGTCCACACATTGATTTGTGTTGGTCAATAATACTGATATCAACCGAGAAAAAGTTAACCAAGCGTCAAATGCGGACCTGTTGTTATTCAACAGGTGCTACAGGACTGGATGTAGATGCAACCGTTCGAGTCCATCCCAGTAAGAGCTTCAAAGTGTTTCTTTGGGATTTTCCACAGTCTGGCTTCCGAGATTCCAGTCCGAAAACGCCTCCGATCTTGTCTACCGGGTAGCCCGCTATTTCAAACGAAAATACCGAGATATTCTAGGGGGGCGTGTGTTTCGATGAGAACCTGCAAACCCAACCAGCCCGTGCAAAGTGCAAGTGCAAACATGGCAGTGATAACTAAGCATATTAATGGGGGTCCTAGAGGTCAACGGAAAAGGCAAAACGGTAGGGCTGAATTCATGCTTTAGTCCTTGAAGACTTACGAGGAAACTATCCCAAGACGGCAAAGATTCACTTCGGTAAACGAATGATGCCATTTTTAAATTGTTAGAAGTCAAACAGCAGCGAAAGACTGACCTCTACAGGTAATGTTTGTTAAATATAAGAGGGGAAAAAACTGTTATACAAGCAAGAACAGAAAGAAATACTGTCAGGATAATGTAGGGAATCTCTACTAACCTGGTGTTAAAATAAGATATGAGAACATGCCAGGAATAAAAAAAAGCCATTTCCTAAGCTTCGTTGTGAACATGATGCAACTGAGTTCCGACATCAGATTTTGAAAACTGTTTTCAGAGGCAGTTTTATTTGCGATGGTTTCTCCCGTTATCTGCTCCACAGTGCGATGTCAGACCGTTCTTGAACGGCAGTAACCTCGAATTTTTGCCTCCCGGCACACAATCTCTCGAGATCAGAGCTCCTTTGAGATTTTTTCCTTGATCTTTCAATTAAATTCCTCGGTGTATAAAATGGATGGATCTACAGCAAGATTCCTTCGAGGTAACAACCTCGGATATAGAAGACTCTAAAATTGATGAATCTTTAGTAGGTTGTTTCCCTATGTTTTTTTCCCTTGCTTTATATCTCATAAACAAAGGAGATCAGTAATTACCGAAATAATTGTGCCAGCTATGGTTAACGTCAAAATCATATCTGTACATATACATTTATATTCAAACCTTTCATGGTGGATTTGTTTGCCTCAGCGTCAATACATTTATTGTTTTTGTTGCAGGGTGTATAATTTCCGTGTCAGTGATTCTAGTCAAGTAAAGAACTTTTTCAGGCTCCAGAGCTAAGTTGAAGTGCGACATGGTCAATGGAAAACAGCGGTTAAACGTTTGCGCATGCGCGAACGCTGTAATGGCGTGTCATGAGGATGTCAGAACCAAGTTACTTGACAAGAACAACATGCCTGGAGGCGTTGAAATGGGATGAGTTGCTCGTTTGGTTAGACGTGGAAAATAATAAATTTACTGTTGACACAGAATTAGCCCCCTAACCAGACATTCTTAAGGCCCGTCACTGGATATTGCAACACGGGATATTAAATGTGGTCACCCATCCAAGTATCAACCTTAGCCAAAAGGGCTTAAGTTCAATGAAAAGCGCAAGAGCGTGGGTAATTATCATGCAAGACTATGATGTGGACGAAGGTTGACGGAAATTTAGACGTAGTCTGCCTTTGGCATCCTACTCACCGCTGACCAAGCGTCTTCTATTTACGAGTTAACAACGGTGTAAGGAAACGGGCATGCACAGTTCTTACCCAAGGCAAGGCTATTAAGCACAATGTTTTACACGGAATTCTCTTCTTCTGAGGCATAATGAAGTTATTTCCTGTAAAGTCAAAACTTTTCTTCAGATTCATGTGGCTTTTTTACATTGTTGCTTCACAAGGGTTTTTCGCTTGGTAAATTAGTTTCGCCTATATTTGCGTCAAAATTAATGTAGCATTTGCTTTGGTACTGTTAGACTACCTCATGCAATCAGTCTCTCTAAGTGCCGATATAATTCACTCCATATCGTTCTTCAGCCTTGCAGTCTCTCAGAAGGATATAAGCCAAGCAGAGGAAAGATGAAGACACTTTCAGTCTTATTTCAAATTTATTTCATTCAATGTAACCTTCGTTTCACTTTTTGATTTCAGTTTGCAAACTAATATTGCTTTCTTGTGTTCTGCTTCTTTCTAAGTTTGAATTTCCACGAGCCTACTCATCCGCCGCATATCCGCTGACCTGTTAACAAACCAAAAGATTAGGCTCATTACTTTAGATCACACACTCACTTTTTTTGAGCACTAACGAGAATCAATCCTGAGACTAAGAAAACAGACAATATTTTGAAAAAAATTATTTGAATTAGAAACGATGAGCATGTCATCAAAATGTGCTTCCTCTGCAAATCAAGTTTGGATTTCCCAGCGGTCGGGGTTAAGCGCTATCCTTGCAGAAGTACGGCAGTAGACTACGACAGCACAGCAAGAAATCTCGCAGGTTGACGCGGAATTACCATTAAGAAGTGAAATTTACCCCTCCCTTCTCCAATGGTAGAACTGAACACATCGACCACACCTCTCAGACAATCATTACTCAGGGCACCGTGATGCGGCAAAAGGTAGACAGCGACTAAAATTGCTTTTGCTTTTTATTCAAATGGGATTAAATCTGTCTTTAACACTCAATCACCTGGTTCCCAATAGAAGGTGACCAGACAATGTCATCCCATCACCGACGTCGCTCCAAGATTTCCCTCCGTCAGCACTGTACTGGATCACAAGTCCAGGGATGGCGGAGTTGACCTCAATTTTTTGGTGTGCAACCCTGACAGAGAATATTCAAAGTCAGAGGTTGTAACTTACCTTTTGAAATTAATAAATTTATGAAGAGAGCTTCCGAATTGCCAAGCAAATAAAATTTTCTCAATGTATAAAGTTAAATGCTTCATTGTATCAAAGATTTCGAATGCTGAAAGCCAAAAGAATTACCTCGCGCCAGGAGGAGGGATATGATAATCTATGTTCATTTTATCCAGACGTGAAAGTTCCTTGTGTCCCAAGCTGTTAGCAAATGCTTCCCATTCCATCCTCCTCACTCGATTCCGTTTCACCACGTCAGTTTCATCCTCGAAACAAGCCTTGTGCCAGGCTCTCTCAGCCAGTGCTAACAGTCTAGGATATATCATGGACTGGAGCTGAGTCGGAGTTCTGACAGTCTCTGACCAGAGCGCGCCAGCCATGCCTATAGAATTAAAAGAAATAAAACTACGTCACAGATAAAAGGGTAAGAGGCTTTATGCCTGATGTTCCATTATTATTGCCGGACCTTAAAACGCTCTCTCAGAATGAAGTAATACTGCAGAAATTGGTCATATTGTTGCTCCTCCTGGGAGAAACGCTCATTCCAACGTCCTCCACCTTAGCATTGCAAACTGTGAAATTTTTCTGAAAGTTTACTGTTAGCCGTGCATACTACGGGTCAGAGACAGAAGAAACTTTTTTGCCCAAGAGCAGAAAAGAAGGACACGTCCAGTGCGTGAACTAGTAGCCAATGGTCGAGCCTGGTACGTTAGCCACTAGACCACCGCGTCTATCTCTCTCTCACTCTTACTGACCCTAAAAAAGCTTTCAAATGCGCATTTCTATACCTACTATATGATAAAAGTATCCTATTTTCATGACAGAGACCTACCGGAAGGATTTCTTTTCACTCAAGCAAGACAATATGTGACGTAATGAGGGGTGACGAGACCGTATGTGATCTGCTATGACGTAATATGGTTTAATCTGTTTGAGCTCACGTGATCCACAACTGAGATGAGTATTACCTGCTATATTTTGAGGTTTCTTTAAGGGAACACATTTTCCTTTGTACATCTCCTCACACAAGTTGATAATTGGATCTCCCATCCTTGTAAAGTCAGCATTAGCGTAAACATCATCCGGCATGAAACCAAATGTCTTTCGAGTGTCAATGAATCTGGGAGCCCAGTAATATCCCCTTTCCTCTGGATCAGGCTCGTATGGGTGATCAAAATACAAGTGGGTTGCCTGGGTCAACACAACCTGGAGAGTGGGAAAATGGTGAACTCTAACTGAATAATTGCAATGGAAAAATACCAGGACACTTTTACTTGGTGTGGGCGTTGGCGAGTAATAGTGATATGGGAACCTCAAAATGCTGAGTGTATTACTTCGGGGAAGAATCGATCTAAGAGACTTAAATAACCTTCATAGGCCTTCTTTAAATGTTAGCGCTTTTTGACTCACTTCAATAATATATTTAGGACGTTTTTTGTGCGATCAAAACTTTATTCTTAATTTATGGCGTTTAAGTATGAAAGGGCATGATCAAGTGAAAATTGTTTCTAAAAGTAAATGATGTTTCCAAAATGCCTTGCATATGAGCGTGAAGTGACAAGAAATATCGCCACTCTCCCGGATGAACTAGTCCACTCATCATAGGTTGCGTCCCCGCACCCCTTCCCGCGCGCGATTTTTACCATGTTTCCCAGACAATTCGTAGGAAAAGGAACTTGATTGAAAAGGATCGTGGTTTGTTGTTGTGAGATGTTGTGAAGTTGGGCATACGCACGCAACATCTTACAAAATCTAAAATGTTGCAACCAAAATTTGACCATTTTCAAACTTGATCCAACACCATCCAACATCTCAGCAACATGAGTGGCCAAACATATGCAACAAGTTATACGCAACAATGTTGCAAGATGTTACGTTGAAATGTTGCGTACATTTTGCCAGGCCGTTTTCTTGCTAAAAAAGACAAATCCCACCTTGTAATCAGCATTGGCCAGCTTATAAGCTCGATCTCCTTGACCCCATTCCCACACATTATCCCAAGCATAGGCGTACACGTTCCTGTTCTTCATGTAGCTCCTATCATAAGGGGTGTCTTTCACTCCTAGAACTCCGTCTTCCCAAGCACCAAGATCAAGACAGTATTTTGAGCTCACATCAGCCACTCGTCGAACGAAGTACTCTTTCAAGTCTTTTACAATGGTAGGACTTGTAAAGTTTAATCCCAGTGTATGCGCAAGTTGTTTGCAAGCGGGAGACTGTGTCCAGGCGCCATGTGCCACCTCGTCGCCACCGAAGTGGAAGACCTCGATACCAAAAAGGTGACAATAACGTATAAAGAAAAGACACTCTACCTGCCAACCTTAAATAAGCGGCTGCTCAAGATAGGTGGTCGCTTAAGAGAATTGGGGTTTTAAGGGGATATTGGCACATAGATCTAAACGCTTTGCCAAAATAAGGGCGTGATCGATAAGTCACTACCCACTCGCCCAGAAGTAAGGTAGCATTTTGTGAAGAAGTTACCTACAGAAGCTCAAATTGTTTAACAAAATGCAGCGTGAAGTTGACGCTAAAATTGGGCGTAGTCGCTTACGAGAGGTTCCTGCTATAATGATTACACAGGTAAAGTTTTGTCAGTATGAAGAAGCATCCCGAAGAGTTACCTTCAGTGGCTGAATGTCCTGATGCATGTGCCTCACACTGATCACAATGTGCTCAAGGAACTCGTACGTGGATTCCAGACATGGATTGATAGCATTGTCTGTAAAGAACTGCACAGAAAGGTACTTTGACGTGTCGAGAGGATCTGACAAAAGGTACTGATCTGCTTCAAACGAGTTCCCCATGGCAGCCTGTTTCTTCTGTCTGGCCTGCATAGCCTTAATTGCGGCATGGCCATGACCAGGCATGTCAAATTCTGGGATGACCTCCACATGCCTCTCTTCTGCATATTTTAATATCTCGCGGTAGTCGTTCACGGTGTAAAAGCCTGTGCCAGAGTTACCAGTACCTGGACCGGAACCGAGCTGAGATCCAAGACATTTTTCTTCTTGGGGGTCATGGCACCGTCTTGATCCAATCTTTAAAAGAAATATTACAGCTTCAACTGATGTTCATATCAGCTGATGTAAATGCATTCTGATCATGGTTTAAAGGTGACTATGCCATGAAAACTAAAATTAAATTTTGAAAGCAAAGTGAAAAAATTATTAACTGTTCAGCAAAACTTTTGAAATTGTTATATTGCAAACTCTGTCAGATCTACGTCACGGATGAAATGGGGAGTCTCCATACGAAATCAACTCGCAAATCTGCCTCTTGTTTGTTATATATATCACAACTTATAATCTGCTCTCTAAATGTCGCAAGGTCTTTCTGACAAACCTCAGTAAGTTCAGGCAATCCTGGAATTTCAAGTCTCCATCCTTCATCGTCAGTGAGATGAAAGTGGAATTTATTTAGTTTATACATTGCCATGGCGTCGATCATCTTTAGAACCTCGCCCTTAGGCATAAAGTTTCGCCCAACGTCAAGTTCCATACCACGATACTCGTATCGCGGTGCATCGTTTATAGTCACGTGAGGTACCAGGCCATCGGGCTCATTCAGGCTGAGTAGGGACTGAATTCCATAAAAGACTCCTGTTGGTGAATTACCAATGATTGATATGCAGTGCTTACTGGAGTCGACCTTTAGGCTGTAGGCTTCTTTGCTATCGGATCTTACACCACCGATTTGAACTTCACCCATCTTTAACTCCAACTTTCGAAACGAGTTCAAATAATCCATTTGAATACCAAGTTCACCTGTAGAAGGTAATGCGCATTTAACACTAGACTTAAAAAACAGTTTATAATTTTTTTAAAGTTTTGAAGTTTAAGGTGTATAAAAAGAAGCATTAAGTAAACAATTTAGGTGGCTTGCCATCTTTCACTTCTTGAAGTTTAGAGTAAAAAAAACATGTACATTACCTGCTAAGAAACTGGCCTCCTTCTTCAAATCCGCACCAGCCACAATCGACCAGTCACCAGTCCTTAGGTTAATCTTTTTCGACTCATCTAGGCCGAGAATTTCCTGTGGACTGGGAATGATTAACTGTCCAGGCTTTTTCAAATTATTAATATCGTTGATGGTGTATCGCTTCTGTGGTGTGTATGGGTCGTACTTGTCAGATGGAATCCGTTTCCATTTTTTCGGCGAGTCAAACGGACCGACAAAAGATAAATCTTCGCCGGAAGTACTGGTAATTGTGCGGGCCTGCAATCCTTCAGCGGCGATATACCAGTTCGGCATAACATCCGTTCGAGCTACATTCCAGTTCTCTGCGTCAAAATCCACCATCAAGGACTGGAAACCAGCCAAGCCTGAGAAGCTAGCAGTAGGCTCAAACTTGTGTTGACAGCCATTTATATGTGTTACTTTGATGCCATGGCTACCGGGGATGACGTACCCACTTGGATTGTGCTTTGTGTGGGCTGGCTCGATTACCCGGATGTGGCAGAGATAAATGGCCCATGGTCCATTGGGAATCGCTTCTGAGCCTGAATTTTCCAGGGTCATGCGGACGCGGTATGACTTCCATGTATCCTGAAAGTTATCAAGGACGTCATAGCGAATTCCGAGGTTGGCTGCGATGTAATCCAGCGTCGCTTGCTCCAAGTTTTGGCAGAGGGCTAGCAATGACCATAAATGATAGCATAAGCCTTTTTTTTCCTCTCTTAAATACTGAAACTGTCACTGAATTAAATAAAAAGAGAGACCCGGCGTGCAACGTCTCAGAAGGACGGTGCTTGAATAATAAGTACCCGCTATGCTCAACCCTTTTTATCTAAATACTTTAAGCTTAGTTGTCGCAATTCATGAATGCTTTTTTTTAGCGTAAAAGTTATGCGGTGACCATGAAATAGTCATAGAAATCTTTCGTGAAAAGGTTCCGAACTAAACGAAGGACCACACCTACACATAGTGGAAAATAAACAGAAGAACGGTTGTTCATGAGTGGCTCGTGATCATGCGTAGCCCAAATTAAAAACAATAATCTTTCAATGTAGTTAGGGAAACCAAAAAGAAAATTCCAACCTTGTACTATTAATCCCAGTAAAACAGCAACGGCAAAATGTCTCTTTCTAGTTTCCATGTTATCTCACCAAAGAGTTCCAGGACTAAGGACGTTTAAGACGATGCCCTTCTTGTAATGTGGGCCGTGGGCAAATTTACACCTGGAGTTACGCTTTAACATGTCGCTTTTGCCTTTATAAGCTGAGTAAACTGACAAACACACAAGGGCATCGATTGGTTTCTCCAATAAGGGGGAGGGAGTGGGAGTCCAAAATTAGCTTTAGAGACGTTTGACAGGTTATTTTGGATTCAAACATTATCACTTCTTCGAGACAAAGAAGGATATTACATGCAGTCATGCGGTCTAAGACTAGAACTCCCCCCCCCCTTATCCACGCCCTTGATACATGTGTCATCGTTGCAATATCTTCTCACTTGTCACTGTACATCGACAACATCTAAATTCTATGATCTTTTGCAGTTTTTTGCACCAATGACAAAGCAGAATTCCACACATTATTTATCGATGTCCAAGCGACGGTTTTGAGGACCGATTAAACAAAGATCATGAGATAGATTGACCTATAGTTCTCATGGAGAACTTTTCAAATACGCTTAACAAAATTGATGGTGCTGTACACTTTACTGTGATATGAAAACCAACACGTAGAAGTAGAATTTGATACTCACTGTAAAAGAGAGCTTGTAACAATATCTCATCTGGGCGGCTGTGTTTTCTTTTGTCCAGAAAAATACCTCTGTTGACAATGTCCTTTTTTTAGAATGATAATGTCACTTCGTGTATTTACAGGCGAAGGGGAAGATTTTCACAGCAAGTCATCTTGTTAACACAACTAAACAGATGAACAAAGCGGCCAGCTTTCTTCGAATTTGGCATTTTAGAATCATTCTTATCGGCCCTGGGGAGGTGATGTCTCAAATCTTCTCTGGGTCCTCAATTTTCTGTCTTTGTTCTAAGCTTTAAAAAAACAAAGCTTTAAAACTATTTCTTTTTCAATACGGGAGTCTTGAAGGAGGGTATACATTTCATCACAAAATTTTGTGAGGTAAAATAGATTGAAAATCTAAATAATGGTCAAGGTGTGACAGAACTTACAAAAAAGATAGGTAACCATTTTAATTTTGACAACAATACCGCGCATTGTTTCGTGTCGAGGTCGGCCGAGGCAATGAGCAATTAGCTGTGTGTGAGGAGACCGAGTGTAGAGTTGGCCGCTACGTTGCCGAAGAGGAGTGGGGACGAAAATCCGTCAAGAATAACCGGTCGGTATATGTATCTCTGCCGAAAGGCCCTGAATATAAGTCGAGGTCTGCCATAAAGGACAGGCATTTCTGTTGTGGTCACATGCTATATCCAGCGGTAGATCGCCAAAATTCTGTGCTGTATAAGCGATGCTTTCCAGCCCTTAGCGACACTCTCGTCGATGAGAATAACATCTTGTAGCCGTAGGGAACAGACTTTAGATCATGGCCATAGCACATTAATATGAGAATACTTGTTGAGACGATTTGTTGCTTTTTCAGGCTTCAGCGAAATTCAACTCAGAAAAGAAAAAAAAAACATTACTTGAGTTTGGAACATCCTTATTAGTTACTTAACGACAACCTTAAGCGTCCCCATTAGACAAGTACTCATTTAACAAAATCCTTTTTACGCAATAAGTCTAAACTGAAGCACCATTTGGTCCCTACTTCAACTGTATGAAACTCGAATTATATAATACAACGTATGTAACGATTACCCAAACAAATTTCTTTTTGAGAAAGATGTTTTTCCGTCTTGTCACGAGCGTGGAACAAAGAAATAATTCCGAGTACCCACAAGGAATCGAACCACAGACCTTCGGGCAGATTCCGCGCTCCGATGCTCTACCACTGAGCCACAGAGACTCCACGGTGAGCGAGGTCTATTTCGAAGTTCATATGACACGCGTCCTGCATACTGCTAGGATCAGCAGTGTCGATAGCTTAATTTTTGCAGATAGAATTAAGGGAGGTGGTAAGTTTTGAGCTCGATAAAGAAATAGAGAAAGATGTTGCATTTTATAGTTTCTGTTAAAAACTAATCTGCAAGGGCCTGTTTTACTGGATTTCCCTCAAGGTATTATTCTTGTTAGTCAAACGTTTAAGGTAAGTCCTCTCAGGTAGGTTGAGAAGGGTATAAATTTCTCAAAACTAATTGGAAGCATGCGCGGGGGCTCATGCTTCTAAACATGCAGTGATTATTTTGGAGCATGCGCCTTGACGATTGCCAAATTTTTCTAATAATTTGAGCCGCAACGTTTGCCAGTACTCTAATTGGCGCGTGAGTTATCGTAAACCACATATGGACTGTTTTTTATAACGGTTTGTTTTGCCTCATATCATCATGATCAAACCGAGATATAAGTATCTGGTTAGCATTATGGTACTAAATAAGGTTAGAGCCTGAAAACCACACTTTATTTGCTCCTAAACTGTAAGCAGTGCATAACGACATGCGTGGATCCGGAACAAACAGGAGGATTCATTTTCTATGGTGTAAAACTCTGCTGATATTCATCTTTGTTTTGAACGTGGCTCTGTTCGTCATGTTCAACGGCCTTTTTCTTCACTACAGTGACCCGTTAGGTGAGTGTGCCGCAGTCAAAATGTTTAGCAGTGATTGAAGTAAACACCGAAGTAATTTGAACATACGTTTAAAAGAAGTGATACCCCGAAGCATTTGACCTCTACAATGGTAAATCTTTCAGCTATGCCTGAGCCTTCCCCGTTTATAATGGTGTGATATTTTACAAAATTTTAAAAAGCATCCTTCGAGTGAGTAAAATTTGAACGAAAAGGTGTAGTTTTGATTTCGTTTCAGGCGCGTCTTTGTTGACGATTCATGTTAATTAGCATGACGATTCATCGTCTGTGAGATCACAAAGAGTCATTTCTGAATCGATTCCATTGACATAACCACCATTTTCCGAACATTTCTCCTTAATAATATCTGTCTTTTTCGGCAAAACGATTATGAAGACTTTAAACTTTATAAAAAGGATATCTTCGTTAAATTATCAGTCGCTCTTAACGTCCAAACATTTTTTATTTTCCCATGGTCTGACATTTTCCCGGGAATTCCACACAACATCTTCGATACAGTCACATTTCGTCCACAATATCTTGAGAATCAGTGAATTATTTAAATAAAACAGTGAACTTTAAAAAAATTTTTCATTTTTTTATTCAAAACAAGGAAGACATTTTGCCTTTGAAGGTGGAAAGCCCTCGACAAACAATGCATACTTAAGGGAATGAAAGCGTCGCCATTGGTTATCAGACCGAACAAAGTACTCTCCACGATTCCGTAACGAGAATCGATGTAATGAAACCAACAGGGAATAATAATGTATTGTTCATTTACGATTGTTCTACATTGATCAGTTGATGTTTGATTAATTTTCTTTCGTTAGTTTTTCCGTTTCGTTTGGCCTTGAATCGTTTTTCTGATCGCAAAACAGTAAAAACCAGAGTAAGAGAACTTCGTTTCAGTAGTGTAAGTCTTTATCAAACTGCAAATTAAACCTTTTGTTAAACGGTGAGCACGTGTTTTTTTGTCTCGGTTTTGAAGATTGCACTCATTTTAACATCATCTTTTTTTACAGATAGCGATTCTACCAATTTTAAATTTCAAGTTTTAGAAAGCGAAAAGTCCTATGAAAATCCTTATTCAGAAGAGACTGAAGAGAATCCGGTGTTAAGCATAGATAAAATCCCACTTCCAGATCAGAAAGAAAATGAAAATTTCCTCATTGATGACGAAGATTATAAAGATGACAACGAAGACGATGATAAAAACGGCGACGGCAATGACAGTCAAATCGACGACGACCAGCGTACTGAAGAAAATGAGTATTACGAGGGTGATAATCATAAAGAAATAAAAGAAGAACAGCAGCAGATAACAGAAGAGAAAGAATTCGAAGACACTGCGACTATCTCATATGGTACTCCGCAAATTAAGCTTACCCCACAAGAAGAAGTAGAGGGAGAAGGCGAAGGAGTAGAGGAAAGAGAGGAAAAAGAAGAAGGCAAAGAAAAGAAAGAGAATGAAAATAAAGAGCACACAACGTCTGTCCCACATAATACTCAGAAAATGAACCCTAGCGGTAAACCAAGCTTTTCACTTGACCAAAACGTGACAATTCCTTCGCACTCCCTCACCGTTGGAAATTTTTCTCAACCAACGAAGAAGCCTTCAATCAATATTCCACTAAATGCAGAAACTGCTACAACAGAGGGAGACAAGCCACCTGAAGACAAACCTGCTTTTGTTGCAGCCGAGCCAATTACTCAAGAAGTCTTGGACAGAATAGCAGAAGATATGGAAGTCCGTTTTGAAGTGTTGGAGGATATAAGAAAAGCGAAAGTAGCTTTACGAAATCAAGGAATGAAAGCAATTGATGGAAATCGATGGTCTGTTCATTTTTGTGTAACAACTGGAATGGAACATGCCCATCTTGTGCGCAGGCCGGAAGGGTACGTCCTCCCGAATCAAACGTCAATAAAACTCACACATTTTAATGGTTGTGCTTATAAGTTAGAACCCACAAAGGACTTCAAGCCTATTCTTCCTGGGAACTCGCTAGAATTTTGGGTGAACATCGGGCCAACGATTGCTCGGAGTGATTTGGGACCTCGATGGTACGTTGCTGCAGAAGGGTTGCAACCAAGGGTCATTTCCAATACTGCTGATGAGAGTCTGGACTTTGTGTTCCTTTCGAAAAGAAAAAGATCCTGGGATAGGTTTGGACATAACGATGTGGAAGATCTTGGAACAGCACCTCTTTTGGTGATTCCAACGCCTTTAGAGATTTTAGGATTGAACGTATCCAGGAAGATTCACATTGATAGCGAATGGGTCGTGGTTGGAGAGCTTGGGTTAGAAAATGAGGCAAAGTTCGTTGCAGGTGATACACGATTTTACTGTCTGACGAGCGTGTTAAGTTTGGTATAGCTTTTTTTCAGTAGAAACTCTAAAATACCAAATAGATAAAAAGGGACAAAAGGCTAGTTATAAAAGAGACCAGATCTCTATTGGTTCATAATTTGCCTCTTCAATTCCTCATATTCAGGTTGT